CCTCTAACTACAGATGTATCTTTTGTTATTTTAGTATTTATGTTTTTGCAATAAATATACATAATCAATTGACAAGAGATAGTGCTTGCATGATATTGGACTGATCAGGTTCATAATATAGAGAAAAATCCAGATGAGTAGAATAGTTCTATGTATTTACAATTTATTGTAATGAAGAATTTGTTCTATTATTGCTGGGACTGTTCAATAAATATTTTTTTAATTGTAATTTTTTTATTATAGAAATACTTCCTTTATTGAGGATGTGTTATGCATCTATGATCATCGAACTGCCTCAATATCGGGACGGTCATCAGTCAGATTTCGTAATGTAAACAAATGAAATCGCGGGCACATTCCTGACATTCCTGATATGCGTTGTCGGCATACTTTCAACATTTTTAGTTCCACCAGATTTCCAGCCAAGAATGGTAGCGCTGCCGTCGTTATAGTCCAAGAAATATCTTCACATCTGCTCAGGAAAATATTCGGATTCGGACTTTTTGCATGTTATTCGAAAAAGCCTCCTAGTAACAAATCTACATGTTGTCAGGCTCCAAATTGCGTCTCTAATTGTTTGTACAACTTTTTCAAATAAATTCCAAAAATTAATGTTTTCGCTTCATCAAAGGTAGTATTCGTTTTTTTTTTGATACTCCGAAACAAAACGATGTTTGACAATGTTTGTTAAAAGCTGATTTTGTACAAGATGGGAAAGTACAAAAAATTGATTTTGCGATACCGAAAAACGATCTGAAAAAACGGAAATGTTAATGTCGCCATGCTTCATAAATAACCATTAACACAATTGTGATACCTTTTAGGAGATACTGTTATTAAAAATCTTTATATGTAATTGATATGCAAGCGGACGCTCAATGCATGTTCAGCGTGCACGAGAGATATTTCATCTCTCTCTCGCGTTCACATAGACATAGACTATACATTGAGCGCGCATTCAATTCATAATTACTATGCAAATATTTACAATAACTGTACTCCCTAAAATGCTCTGGGGGTTTTGTTATTGGTTGGTTGAAGCATGTGTGAGATTTGGCAACATCAAAATATTCATTTTTCATATTGTTTTTAGGGTAGCAAATGACATAATTTGAGTTTTTACCTTGCTTATACCTGTATATATCAAGTCTAGAGAAAAGTTCTAAAGCTCATTTTTTATTCAGAATGTCCATAAAACCGCAAAATACTATAAACAAAGCGAACAAATCAATTTTTGGAATCGCTTTAATAACAATTTTTGGAGCAATTTTGAGCCTAGTCACATGCAGATTCTTTAACAGAGGTCCTTGAATCAGATTATGCAAAAATCGGAATCGGAAGATTTTTCCGAGCAGATGTTTCGATATTATCTGGACTATTATCCGAGTTCTGTGACTTGATTACCAGTGCATTGGCGCAAGCGAGTGGGGAGGGGCCACTTGTCAATGTCAAGGCTGGTCCGCCAGTCCACGCAACACAAAAGCCACAAAACACTCTTTCATCTGCTACCTTGACGTTAAACATATGATTTTGTTAGTGTGTTTAGTGTTGATATTGTCGCCATTGCTACATTGGCAATCCTGGCCGCGCATTCGCTTTAAATGCTCATTTTCTTAAATTAAGTTACGTTAAGTCTTGCATGAACCCACCTTTAACGTACTATTTATTGTGATTACAAACTTGTAATTAATTTATTGTTGCATCAAATTGTTGAATAAATAATATCCATTGCCAGATTAACTATTCCATTACTTTGAATATCGCATTTCTTTGTTCGAAACTAATCTCTTTCTTTCACATTAATGCAAAACGAATGACCGCGAGCGGAGCCCCGGGTGTAGAATAGTTTACAATAAATACAGGCTAAGAGCTGTATACATCGTCATTCTATCACTAGAGACCTTATTCTGAGAACGCGTCATTTGCGTTGACAGACTGAAGCAAGAAGGTGGCCCTTTTTCATACTGAACCTTGCATAACTACTTCAAGGCTTCCTTATTCTAATACGTTCCCAAAGGAATGCTCCGCCCTACTATTTAATTTAGTTGTTACGACCAAAGGAAACATACACATACAAGGCAAATGAGACGACCTCAGAATAAATGGGCATAAAGTAGTAGAGCGACCCTTGGGTCCTCATTTATAGTTCAACCTTAAGGAACAATGACGTACCCTTGAGTGGTCCTCAAGTGGAGATTTTAAATTTTCATTTTACATAACTTTGAAAACCATGTGGATCCTCGAAAACTTGATGGATATTATAAAAGCCTTCACTGAAAACTGAAAATTTTGAGGACTTCTAATATACCTAAAACTGTAAGAACTTTGAAAATATTGAAAATTGTGGAAATCTGTGAAGACAATTGTTGCAGCCTACTGCGGAATATAAAAGTTTAATCTTTGCACAAGGGTGCGTTATTGTTTGTTTAAAATGATCGAAGCTGAAAATTTTGAGGCTTTCGAACATATCGAAAACTCTAAAAACTTTGAAAATAGTGAAAATTTCGAAAATTGTGGAAACCTGTGATAATAATTGTTGCAGCCTACCGTGGAATGTAAATTTCAATCTCCACTCGAGAGTTGCTCAAAGGTGCGTTATTTATTATTTAAAATGACAGAAATAACATCAACGAAAAAGGTATTTTGTATCCTTTTACAGACGAATAATTTTTTAATTTGATTTGCAGTAAACAAATGCCCATCAGGTACAGATGAAATTCTCAACTTTTAAGTGAAAAAGTCTTATTCCATATAGTGAAACCTTTCGTGTTCCTTATAAACTTGTCTTTTTCTACAGGTGTGTTCCCAGATAAACTAAAACCTGGTAAGATAACTACAATACACAAAAAAGGGGCTACTTCTCAAGTTAATAATTATAGATCAGTCAATCAAATAGGTTGATGTATTTGCAGAGTATTGTCCAAAAATCAGCATGGTTTTCGCAATGGAAAATCGACAACTACAGCGTTGCATTCTTTCTTCGACTAATCAAATATATTGAGACCTGTTGGCAGCTTCTGTGGCCCAAGCAAAGCATATGACTGTTTTTCTCACAATTTATTATTATCGAAGTTAGCTAGATATAGAGTAGGTGGAACTGCTTACCTCTGGATAGAGTCATACTTACATAATAAGTCGCAATAAGTGTCCATTACCCATACCAGCGACTATGAGGTTAAACAGGTGGTATCATATAGCACAAGTGTAAACTTAGGCGTCCCTCAGGCGTCTGTACTGAGACAGGTACTTTTCTCACTATATATCAATACCTTTGAGCCATCTTGCCCTACATATTATATTATACGCTGACTGTGCCCCAATTATAATATCAGATAAAGAACATGAAATTTTAAGGGACATCGGCAAACATTAAAAAAACATAACTGGTTCGACGACAACCACCTCCATTTGAACAGTGAAAAAACATCAATTTCAAGGTTTCACAATTCTCAAAGATCGTTAACACGGTTAAACTTAACTTTAAATAATAGCACTCGTAATACTAAAGAGGAAAAGTTTTTGGGGCTTTACTTGATGAATAAATTGTGAACATGTAAGCAGCAAGCTAAATTCAGTCATTTACGTTTAAAACATCAGATCAGTCCTTAATGAGAACCAGTTATTGATGCAGTATTATGCACAAATTGAGTCTCGCATGCGCCATGCGTTATGCTGTTGGGGCTCTTCAGCTAACGATCAACAAATATTTTTAAATGAAAAGACGACCATTCGATCTATGGTGGAGTTGAAAGTACACATAACTGTAGAGAGCTATTAAGAAAATTGAAAATTCTTATATTACTAGGACTACTTCTTTACGAAACGGCAATCTACACTATTCTCATCAAATAAATCTAAATAAAGATGTACATGGTATCAATACAATATACAGGGTGTCCGCAAAAATGGGGTTTTCCTTTTCAGAAACAACTACCCTTGAAATAACAAAGGTAATGTGTAGTGAAACGAGGGCGACCAAGTAAAAAAAAATAAAGGAAAAAGTACTCACGCTCCAGTTGACGAGAAGGGCTAAGTACGTCTCTGCCCGAAATCATACCGCTCCAACAGAAAATGAAATCAGCTGATGCGCTACCGAGCAGACGCAGGCAAACAAGGAAGGCAAAATGTTGCGTAAAAAGTCTAGGTATTGCATCCCGTCCAATCGATTTGGGAGAATAAATGGTCCAATGAGCATACCGTTCACCATGCCAGCCCAAACATTCACCGAAAATGTTTGTTGAAAATGTGCCCGACGGACAGCGTGCGGATTTTCTACTGACCAAACTTGAGTGTTGCGAAAGTTATTCACCCCATTACGCGTGAACGTAGATTCGTCTGTCACCAATATGCACTTCAAAAAGTCCGGATTATTGTCATGTTGATGCAACAACCACTCACAAAACCGCACTCTTGCTGGAAAATCGTCAGGTTGAAGGGCTTGTACACGTTGGACGTGAAACGGATACAGCCCCTCTTTACTTGCACTTCTCTAGCCACGTCTCTAGTGCTTGTTGAGGGATTCTCGTCTACGCGATTACCTCTACACGCGTGACCGTAACCGTCGGTTGAAGGTTGCATACTGACCTGACACACTGACACCGACCCAGTTCTGTCGTCGGGTTGAGCTAGTGTCCTAGTACCACTCGGGGATGTCGCGGCTACAGGACGGTATTCAGATATTTTTGATGTTGCATAGCCCTTTATCTCGGTTCCCTCAAGACATTGGTGTATATGGTACTAAGAAAAATTGCTTATGTTTTCAAGATCTACACTAAAACTAAAATTTAAAACGGAAAATAGAAACTAGAACCACAAACCATCAACGTATAATACATCACAAAACATTTATTCGCTCTTTGACACTTGACAGGTGTGGCAGGTTTCTTTCGAAATCGTGCTTACGATCAACAACTTAACTCAGGTCAGAAGCTAACTTTAACTCAGGTCAGAAAATCGCCAGTTCGCAAGCAACTATTATCTACTTTTTAATATGAACTCACCCGCCTGATTGTCTGGATCACCTCCAAAGATCGTTGCTCCAATGTCGTTTCCAACGGCCATACCATCATTCTCCGTTTTGGCTTCGACAGTCGCGATCTGTCCCGACTCCTCTAGCACGTACGATTCTGCATCCAGGAAGCGATCATCTTCGTCTACCGCTGGCACTTCCTGATCTGGATCGGATGGATCTCGGACAAAATCTCCACACGTCGTTAGTCGAGCTATTACCTATGTAATATAAAGATAATGATTTGGCTTAGTTTTACAATGTAATGCAGCCTTAGATAGTAACTTCAGTTCATATCTCTCACTTTGCAATAATAACCAAAACGACAGTGACGTTATTCAATCATCAAATGTGGTTCCAGTTATTGATCGATGGGAAAGAGAAAGAGAAACGAGAGAACGATAGATGAGAAAAACACCACAGAATATCTGTTTCCACGTAACTGGTGTATTTTGCAAGTGAAGTTTGTGGTAAGAACATTTTTGTATGGTTGCGTTACTCTGTTCGTACAACAGATATGCATTTTGAGTTGATATCTTTATCCGCTCCAGGGATATAATTCCTTTCCATTTCCCTAAAACAAGATCATCTATTTTTTTCAAGTACAAAAACCATTCATTTTCAATTATTAATATATATTTATAAGGTTCAAAAATTGGTCTATTCCTCACATAATCGCCATTCCGGTCAATGCATTTTTGTTGAAGTTGTGGCATTTCTTTTTGTAAGCCCATATTGAGGAAGCCCTGACCCTTATCTTTCACCTCAATGTCGGAATTGAATCGCCTTCTGCATAAATGTTTTTCAACCTAGGGAACAGGTCGTGGTTACTGGGTGCCAAGTCCAGGTTGTAGGGTGGGTGGGATGATACCTCTCATATCCAACCAAACTGTTGTAGAAGAGCGATGGTTTGATGAGGATGCGCCGTTATTGTCGTGGAGTATGATCTTACACCTTTATTCAACATTCCTGTTTTGTTGAATTGAGCGTCAGATGGTCGGAGAGTGATACAGTTCCGATGACGAAGTGCTTCAATGCTTCCTCAAGATCATGGTGGCATAACCTTTCAAAAACAGAGTCTACAAAAATGCATTGACCGAAATGTCGGTTACGTAGCAATAAATAAAATACATACTTTTTTAAACAAGCTTTTATTAAGTAATGAAAATTTGAAAACAATTTTATCCGATTGGAAATACTTAGACAATGAAGCTCCTTCATCTCAAGTATTCAAATAAAAGCATGTTACACCCTTTTTCCAAATTGGCGCCAAAACGTAACACGCTTTTGTTTGTAAACTTGAGATGAAGGAAATTCATTATCGTTTCAATATTTCCCATCGGATAAAATTATTTTTTAAATGTTTAGTTCATTTAAAAAAGTATATCTGTATTTTATTTATTTTTTACTTTTTAGTATTTACGATGTCAACTAACGAGTTTGGTAATTTCTATATAACTTTCATATGTTTTATTAATATGACTCCATAAAGCTTCATACTTCATTTGTATTATAAAATTTCGATAGATATAAATCATATAATGAAAGATCAATATTTTGCGGCGACCGCCATATGGAATTTAGAAGCCGGTTATTTGCTTATCATGTTTCTCTCATCAAGCCCTTTCATTAAATACCCATATCATAGCGGTGACCATAGACATTATAAATCGCCATTCAGCAGCCGCCGCCAACTTGGAGCTAAAATGACGTCACTTAGCTTATTGCGTTTCTTTCAACGAGCCCTTTTATTTGATACCCATATCATAAGGGTTAGTATGGAAATGATTAATCGCCATTTTGTAGCATCCGCCATATTCGAATCGAAATGGCGGCAGTTAATTAATTTTGTGTTGTCGCTTGAACCAAACGTGTGTACAAACTTTCAGCAAAACTGGTGCAAAAATCAGTTTCCAAATTTGTCGCACACACATCCTAACACTCTAACAAACAGTTCAAGTTAAAAGCTTTTAAAATAGAGCAATGCTCAAGCTTTATAACCACGTATCTACTTTACTAGAAATAAATGTTGTACTTTCAAAAAGGACACTTGGAATTTCCCTCGTATTCTCCGGCCTGTATATTCGTTAATTCTTTTGTATGGATCCAATACAAGAACATTAACGAGTCGGGATATTTGCATACGGTCCAACAAAATTGTTATAAAGGCCAATTTATAAACTCGCCGTTGATCGTTCGTCGTTGCAGTTCACTAGCAATTTATAAACTCCCAACCACAGCTGTCAATAATTGTCCAGAACGTAGGACATCTATAACCGCAATCTCAGTTGAAATTACTTATTGTGATTGTCACAACCAGTATTTGTGCGAAAATGTTCCTAAAGTCTAAGTGAAATGCATTCAGGAAATGAGCATATCAGTCAACGCTTTTCTAATTGTCACTTCCAAATTTTTAGGCTAACTGCAACTTCAAAAGTTAAAACTTGTCAAGACGAGCGACCAACGCCAACTGTGTACTACAGAGGTTTATACATGGTATTACAGATTGAATAACTCTTAATTTGAACGCCAACTGCAACGCGAATGACCAATGACGAACGTCAGTTTATAAATCGGACTTCATGAATACTAGTGAATTTTGGCATGCAATGCCAAAGACCAGCACGATCTGAAAATTAGGCAGGGTTATGTCGCAGCACAATGGCAGTAGATCTTTCTTGACGCTGACCAAGCAGATTGAAGGGAACTTCTCACAGAGTAGCCTTCCACCTCTTACGTCCTAGGATGGAACGATTGTAACCGACTCAGAGGCTAAGGCGGAAGTGCTTGCCAAGATCTTTGGTGAGAACTCCACCATGGACGTCCCCCCAAGGCCCGAGTGCCGTCGATTCAAAGGGTCCCTAACACTATGCGGAAAATAACGTTCAGGCAAGCTTCTGGTCGGTCCGAAGTTGATTCTTGCCATTGTTTTGAAGATGTGTGCACCGGAGCTTGCTCCAGTTCTTTCGCGTCTCTTTCAGATATCTTACGAATCCAGGTCCAACCCATCCCAAAAGAAGGATCTAAGACCGACTCCTACATCTACACGCCTAAGGCTCTAATTTCTGTTATAAGTAAGGTGCATAAATCGGGAGTTTCTGGAGTACCTCGATCATGACGGCTTGATTAGCGACAGTCAGTATGGTTTCAGGCACCTGCGTACCACAGAGGATCTGCTAGGTTACATCATGCAATTGTGGAGTAAACTCATCCAGTCTTATGTTCAGGCTCATGACATTGATCTTGAGATCACGAAAGCGTTCGATCAGCTGTGGCGCTGCCCTTTTATGCAAACTTCCATCCTATGGCCTCTCAGAGAAGCTTTACAGATGGGTGGCTGACTTTCTCTCTGGCCGCAAGCTATCCGTCATAATTGATGGGTTCTCCTCCTCATCCCACAACGTCAACGTTCAAGTGTTCAATAGGGATCGGTCTTGGCTCCGACACTGTTCCTCTTACATATCAACGACCTCCTTTCCTGTACGATCAATCCAATACACAGCTTTGCCGATGACAGAACTCTACATACAGGAATTCAGAGTGACAAGCCAATCTCTGCCGATGAGCTGGAGAAAAGAACACGAGCAGCGACTTACTCTCTGACGAGAGTTGGGGACGCAACAATCTTGTACAGTTTAATACTTCCAAAACACAGAACGATACATTGACAAACAAAAAGCGTCCTAGCGCTCATCCGGTTTAGATGGATGGCCGAGTTCTGCCAAAGAGCCGTTCATTTCGGCTGGTCGGAGTCAAGATCATCGAGGATTTGATCTGGCACGAACACATCTAGTCAATAGCGTCAGGTGCTGGAAAAAAGCTAGGCTATTTATTCAGGGCTAGAAAGTACTTTTCTCCACACGACCTCACTCTATACAAGGCTCAGATAAGACCTAGCCTCGAGTATTGTACACGTGTTTGTGGTGCTGCCGCCCCAACTACATTATCCGTGCTCGATGCTGTACAGAGGAGAGAGCTGTTCGACTGATTAATGACTCTTCTCTGATGGACAATTTCTGTAAGCTCCTCATAGCAGCCGCGGTGCTCAGGCATTTAGCCTTCTGTCTGCGTAGCTGGTTCTGTGTAAAAAAATGAAGCCTCAAAACTGAAGTGCGAAGTACTTACGAGATCACACTCTTCGACGGATGCTTCTAGCGTTTCTGCGCTGTCGGCCGCCGCCACAATCCCGGCATCGCAAACATCCTCTTCACAACCGTTGCCCCCGATGCGTTCTTGTTCGTCCAGAACCGCCGTCAGCGCCCTTTGTTGCAACATTTGCGTGCCTGTTGCATCATTGGACAGCATCTGGAACGCCTCATCGGGCACCTGCTGCTCTGACTTCACGGGCTCACCCGAGTCCAGCGCCTGCTCGGCAGCAGTGCGGTTGAGACTGTGTTGAACATCATCGAACTCTTCTTTCAACTCGTGGACGGTTGTCGTCGCTTCGGTACTAACGCTTACGTCGCTGTGTAAATAAGATAGAGCATTAAAATGTAGTTCTGCCTTCAAGGAAGCGATAGTCGACATTCAAAAATAATGGTAAAATCTCATGAGAGCGTTAAGTGTAACCTCGTGAACTAACATGAAGTATGACTAAAGACCAATCGCCTCGCCTACAAACTGTGATCAGCAGACACCAAGGAGACTTAAAAGAAAAGCGCTTAGCTGGGTACAGCTGCAGTAACGAATACAACGAATACCTACAACGTTAGACCGACACAACACTTCGGATGGAGTGAATACATTGGTCTCAGATGTTAGCACTCACAATAGGTTGCCACGTTTAAATGTGGGATGCAGTTCGAACTGAATTGGACTTTGGTCTCAAATACTACCTGTGAACCCTCGAGAATTAGGATCGAAAAGAATCGATTTTCAAGGTCGATGCGGCTAAAAATGTGATTAACCACCGTCTTATTTACGTGAAACGCTGATATTTTTCAACTTCGATTCCTTTTTAGAAAACACCCGACGAATCTTACTAGTACTTCCACAAATTTCCCAAAAGAGATAGAGGTTATAAAATTCTTCTATAAATCACACCTATGACTCTAGACTCGCCGCTTTGAACAAGGATTCAAAAAAGATTCAAATCGACTGCATGTAAATACGGCGGAATACCGGATCAAATCAAACATAGTGAGAAATCGTGTTTACGATTTTGTTGTGATTATATACATTATGTTCTGGGCATGATTGACACTTTTTTACTACTACTGTAAGAACAGAACGTCGATTTAACAGTAAACACATGGTTTCAACAGAATGGTGCCACTGGCCATACTTCCAGAGAATCGATGCACACGGTGAAAGCACTTTTTCCTCAAAAAGTTTAATCGAAGCTTGGAGACATTCACTGGCCTCCTAGGTCACCCGACCTCACGCCATGCGATTATTTTTTGTGGGGTTATCTAAAGTTAAAAGAGTATTCCAATAATCCAGGAACACTGGAGGAACTTAAAGGCAACATTCGACGAGAAATAGACAACATCACTCCGGAACTCAGCAAGAGAGTGTTTCAGAATTTGCGTGCGTGATTAAAAGATTGTTTCTGAAGGGATGGCAAACATTTGGACGGAATGATATTTAAGAAGTAAAATCCGCCGAATTTACGAATATGTTGATAGTAATAAATATTTTCTTTTCATTAAGTTATATATATCGTCGTATTCCATTACACTAAAAGGATATAATCATATTTATATAAATTTTAGATTTTGAAAGGAAAAAACGATCTCATCTTTTGGCAAAAGTAAAAGAATTTTCAAAAGATTTAAGAGACAAAGTAATTGAATGATTTAGAAGTGGTGTCAGAAGTGTTAACATTTCTCAAAGTTAAAAAATGAACAAAGGGACGATTTCGAAAATTATTAGTGAATATCAAGAATATGGATCAACAGCAACGCGTAAAAAAACGATTATGTTTTGGATCGCTACATTAAACGTTTGTCGCATGAAGATCCTCGAATGCCAGCCATAAAGATTTTCAAAAGAATCGTAGAAGAGGGTGCCGAGAATCTTTCTGTAAGAACACTGCAGAAACGCTTGGTGGATTTTGTGCTTGTTGGTAGCCGTCCAACTCTAACCTGGAACAATGGAATACAGTTCTATGGAGCAATGCAAGCAAATTTAACTTATTTGGACCTGACGGCACGCCCAATACGAAAAAGATTCGACAAGAACTATCAGTTGCCAACATTTGAGCACGGTGGAGGCAACATCATGGTTTGGGGCTGTTTTTCTAGATCTGGAACGAGTTATTGTATTTAATTTTTTAATAAAAAATATGTTTCAATACTTTTGTCGTTTCATTTTTGGTCATAAAATAATATGAAGGTACTTTAATGGTAGTCTGTAGTACCACAGCAAACATAAATTATCATTTGTATCCTCAAGACTGTGAGCCAACTATAAGAAAAATAGTCCTTAATAATAAAGAGTAAAAAATTAGCGCACTTTTTAAAAATTATACTAAGAATGTTTCCAAACTTTTGTCCGATACTATATGCTGCCTCCGGGCATCAGTATTATTCGTATTATTCGAATAGCGGAATATATATAGGCAGCAGCGGTGGCCGCAGTAGTAGACTCGTCGGTCTCCTGATCAGTCGCCGTGCGCTGTGCGGGTTTGAGTCCCGTTCCAGGAGAAATTTTTCTCTTGGCTATGGATGTTGTGATTGTCCGTAGGTGGTAGATGGTCTCTGACTGTCGAATGCGGAGGTACCACCCGGCGGTTCTCGTAGGCGAAGCCAGAATGTGTGCATGTCGCATGCACACGTGTTCCCTCGCCAGAGTCCGTGTGGCGCCCCCCCCCCTTTCCCATGTATCCCCCTATAGCCCCACGGTACCCAATGGGTGCTTAGGCCTTCGTGGTAGTTGGAGTATAAAAAAAAATAATACGGAGTTAGGCTTCAATGTCAAGAGAGAAATTTGAACAAATGCTCTTTCACGTTATTTTTAAAATCAACAGCTGCTAAGGTGAAACCCAAAATACTAAACAACGGCGACTGCTTTAAAGAACGGTCCATGAACAGAAGGATGATCGATATCGTAAGAGGATTATTAATATGTGAATGCCTTACGTTTGCATTATCTGTTCATCCTTAACCGCATCCTCATGCCGACTATCACATATCCTTTCCCCCTGCTGCTGTTCCTCTCGCTCTGCGATGGCCTCCAGTTCCTCTTCTTCTTCCTCAACGCCCTCTTCATCTTCCCCCTCCCCCGATTGTTCGACACCTCCTGTCTCTCCCCCCACTCCTTCAGCCACTCTGTCACGTCCATCGTCGCCGCCCCCTTCATCTTCTTGCATCGACCTGTAACAAGTCCAATCTCAAGGCGAATACTTTTTTACGCCTAGTACACATTCCAGAAATGGAAATGGTTACACGCGCTGCAACCGGGCAATATATCAGCAATCTACATATTCATATTTCACAACATTCTAAATTGGTATGCACAACTAAAGAGCTTATCAAGTAGCATACGAGGTGTGTAAATTAAGTGATGAGACTGGCAACGTAGCGTCCGATCAGGCAACACTGGAGGCGCCGGGCTTAAAGGGGGACACGGGCCAGTAAGATGTCCCTAGGGATTTTTTTGTAAAACGGTTTTTACCATTGTGTTCTAAAAATGAGTGACAATTTGCTTCAGACTTGGACACACTGCAATGGAAACTCCTGCTAAACAGGCCTACGCAGATAGTGTTGTGAAAAGAGCCCAGGTTTTTCGGTGGTTTAGACCATAGAGCATTTTCAGAAGAGAGAGAGTCGACTGAAGATGAACCACGAAGCGGAAAGCCTTCATCTTCAAGAGTCGATGAAAATATCGACAGAATCCGGTATCTTGTGCGTAAGATCGTCGGCTGACAGTCAGAATGGTCGGGTCGGGGCAGAGTTAAATTTGACTTACACCACCATTCATCAGATAAAGAACAACTGGGTGTTGCATTACGATAATGCTCCTTGTCACATAGGAATGTCAATAAACGAGTTCTTGGCCAGTAAACTATCACATACCCGTACGTCGCGACTGCTTCCTCCAATTCACTCTCCCTCCCCCGATCGCCGTCATCTTCATCTTCCTCATCGCTAATTTCCTCTTCCTCCCGATCGTTCTCATTTAGCTTAAGCGGGTCGCTGTCCATCTCGGCCATGTTGGAGATATCGGGTGTAGCGGCCAGCGTCTCTTCTTGTTCGTCCTCATCTTCTTCCTCCTCCTTAAAAAATCAAGTGTACAAGTACTATAATCATATGAAAGGTAATGTTTGAGAAAGTTATTGAAGTTCATCAAAGGTCAACTTTCAGTTAACCCGAAAAAATATTTCCCAAGGACCTTCAGACGAGACCAATATTCAATTCAATTTTTTCCACAAATTCGATCTTAAGTTGACGTTGATCGTTCTCATCACTGAGATGGAAGGAAATATCGATTTCCAGAGAACAAATTACATAACGTCCTTAGGACTGGTAGGAAAAATGAATAACACGGTTTGCAGTTGTTCTCTTGACGGTATTTCGTGCCCTTTTGAGACTAGCTTTTATTTTTGCTTACCATAGAAACAAAAAGGTAGGTTTCGTATTATTCATATTACGATTCGTTTTTTGAATGTATTTTTATTCAAATATACAATTTTTTAAATGTTGAAAGGAATACATATGCATATTTTTCAAATTTGATATCTCAGGTCTCTCCAAGGGGCCTTGAGAATGGAGAGCACTGAACGTTAATGTAGTTGTTGAGCTTCAGAGATATTCTTTCCATAAATAAACACGCTAAATAAAATTTGGAATAAAAATAAAATAATTATTTTACTTTATGTAATGAATTTTAATAAAAGATCTGAAGCAAAAGTTTAAAACCAAATACAAAAAGATGTGTTTTTTGAATTTATATTAATATTTATCATATAAATGAAGTTCATAATTTATGTAAATTATACCCCACTTGCGAACTTCATTCACCTAAGGTCCCCTACAGTAGGCCATATGTTATTCCATATATGTGTGTGTGGCAATAAAAAAACATTCATTAAATTATGTTATCTAATTAGTCTCAGTAGATCGCATAATAACACAAAAAATCATTCAAATAAATATTCGCCGAGCTATATATAACGTATTTACTCTGCCTTGCCGTGTAGACGTGATCTCACTAGCTTCGTTAATAGTGGCTCAAAGAGCGCTTTCAAATGCAACAAAAATTGTGTGTGCTGGTGAATTAGTGGAACAACATGGACATCTGCAGAAAAGTGAATCCACCAGAAAGTTACACAGATCTTAGACCTATCACCATACTGTGTGTCCTTGTCAAGGGTTTTGAAAAGATTCTTTACTCACTCAATTGCTAGACTTCATTGAGAAGCATAAGATACTGCCAGAGAGCCAGTCTGGTTTTCGAGCAAATCACAGCTGTATTACGACCTCACTAAAAATAGTTGATGATATGCATGTAGCACTTGATAAAAATAAATTATGTATTTTGGCACTACTAGATTACTGTAAAGCGTTTGACAGAATTAACCATTAAGTCTTATTATCTTTGTTGTGTTTGTTACTTCAACTTCTCCCAAGATGCTATGTATCTAATTGAATCCTATATAACTGGCATATCTCAGGCAGTAATCTTACATAAACAAAAATCTTCACAGCTTGATCTTTTCAATGGTGTCCCGCAAGGCTCCGTGTTAGGCCTTCTACTCTTCATACTATACACCTCGCAGCTCGACAGATGCCTAAAATATTGTTCCTATGCTGATGATACACAGCTCTATATAACATTTGAAGAGACGGACATCGAAAAAGCATGTGATCAGTTGAGTGAGGACTTAGAAACTTTAGCATTGACATCTGAGAAGTACTGTCTGACACTAAACCCTTCGAAATCAGTGGTGATGCTCTTTGGTAGGAGTAAGGCTCGAAATAGTTGTTTAAGTAAAATAAATATTAGCGTAAAACACGAACAAATTATTCTAAAAGATGTAACAAAAAATTTGGGTGTGCATCTAGATTATTCGCTCAGGTTCTCGGAGCATGTCACATCTGTGTTAAAAAGAGGATATTCTAATTTTAAAATCCTATATAATAAATTCTGGTAGACGCTGTAGTGTTGTCACATGCTACTTATGCAGATGTGCTATGCTTACGTAAACGCGACGAAGAAAGATTGCAAAAACTTCAAAATTCATGCGTGAGTTTTATCACGGGAGCTAGGAGGCGAGATCATGTTTCTCAACACTACTCCAGCCTAAAACTGTTACGAATGAAAAACCGAGGGATCCTGCATGCCATTTGTATGTTTCATAAGATCATCACCAAACAAACTTTTGCTTATCTGTATAACAAAATTCGTTACAGAACAGACGTCCACACACTCAGCCTGAGTTACAGACATTTAGTTTCTACTCCTAGATTCCGTACATCGTTTTTCAAACATGCTTTTTCTTACAATGTCGCACGGCTGTATAATAAGGTACCGATTGCATACAGGAGTTTGTCTATGAATTTATTTAAAAAAACAATGAAGCGTTTTCTATTGGCAGATGACTGCACAATATGAAGCATACAAACTTTAACCCGTTTTTCTGTGTACACAACAGTTTTTCATTTCTGTTTTCCGTTAACTCTTTTTGTGTCAAGTTTCTTGGATCACGGTAAGGTCTAGGTGAACAATTATTGTATTTTTTTTTCAGCTAATATTTGTTGAAGTTCTATGTATTTTTTTGTGTGCTTATCTATCTATTTATTATTATTATTATAGGAGTTGGAAAGTTACTCTACGTGAAACAGCTGTCCATAGCCATTTTTAAACGCAAGTTCACTGTATAATATCAAACGGAAACGGTGATAATACTGGCAATTAAGTATCTTAGAGGAAAGTGGGCAAATAAGGTACATGTTCGTAAATGACTAGGCACTAAAGGGGCATCTGGCACCGGCATGGGCGCCCGCAGGAATGATTCTCAGGGGGCCGTCATCGGCAAGAGATACATTTCTGTGAAAGTGTACCTGCTCCCAAAACATTTTGAAGAGCGGGGGTAGCAAATTTTCTCTAAATATGCAAATTTCCAACCGAGGCGCGCCAGAATATATATAGCTCAGTGTCATCCTTATAGGTTACCTGTGCAAAGCTAGGGACTCAACATGTGTGAGTGCTGATTGTACGCTCTGATGTAAGGGAGATGGATGCACATTTCTTGATAAGAGCAACCTAAGGTATTCGGTGCAATTGCGTTCTATCGACAAGAAATGGCCGCACGGAACTGTGCAGAAGGGAAGTCCTGCATAGATTTTGATATGAAATAAATAATTCCAAATCTTTGAGATTAGACTGACAATTACATGAAGCACTGAGAAGATTTCCTTTTCTGAGTGCGCCAGTTAATAATTAATTGTCTTAAGCACATGAAACATGAAACTTATTCTTGTCAAAAATGTGTTTCACTGTATTTTAAAAACCAACTTTAATAGGACTAAAAACTATTAAAATGGTCCAAGGAATAACTATTTGAATTCTGCTCCATGTTTAGGAAGATCCCTACAGATAACATTAAACACACTAAAACATACCTCTTGTTCGGAGAGTTTATCATCTGTGGCTGTGGTCGCCGTAGATGACGTTTCATCGGTCTGTTCGTCTTTATAGTCTACATGGAGTTGCAAAGAATCCACAGTTTCCATGGTGGCCTCGTTGCTGGATGTATCGTCCATGTGCTGCTGATGGTGGTGAACTGCTACCTGCGCAGAACTCACTCCGGCATCGCCATTCGAACTACTGCTGCTGTTGTCGTCCAGCATCTGCAGAAAAGCGCGAAAATAAAAAACAGGGGCCTCAAGAGATTGGGTAGCCGCAGAACATAAAAAATGCTGCATAATATCTCCCAGGTCTTATGAAAAACACTTGAGTGGTCCAATGGAAGCTGTTAGCGCATCGGCTCCAAGGCTCCACTAGATTGGTGGAAGACCAAATAGGTGTACATTGCATCGCTGAACCTGGTTTATTCAACAATCAGTTACCAGCAAATAAGCATACTGGTACAAAGGGGTCGGCAAAAAGGGTCAAAGGCGGCCTAGTTGACAGGCTTCGCCTCACCTCCACTACTACTAAGTGTACGAATTATATCGCTATAGTGCCCAACTTGGTATTTTTTTTGCTGTTCCAATTAGTAATAGGAATATATGCCCTCACATATGTCCACTTGCTGCAAGAGCTGCAAATAAAACAACTTGTATAGTGAATATGTCCTTTAAGGAACTAACCTTATCCTCAGATCCAACTTCATCATCCAGTGGGTTCTCTTCCATGGCAACTTCACTAATCTTATCTTCATCACTACTTCCGAACTCTTCCACTTTCAGTTCGTCCATCTCCTCCTTGGAAATAACTTCCACGTGCTCGGGACTTGGCGTCTTCCTTTTAGGAAATCGAACTACTTCTTCCATGTCTTCTTCTTCTTCACTCCGCCTCCTATTATATTCAATTGGATCGATTTTAATGAATAAATCACACCTACATCGCTCGGAAATTAAAATTCTTATTTGGGCATTGCGATGTTAATTTCAATTAAACAAAGTGTTTCTGACAAACGTAGCAATATTTATAGGGCATAAAGTAGATCAAAGAATAACACGAAAATCTCATATAAACATGAATTCTAAAATGTCCCGTTACCGAGATACTGGGTGTTATAATTTTGAAATAAAAAAAATATATCTTCGGGGTGGATTAAGATATTAACTTAAAATTTTGTATATCTAGTGTTGATAATATAACCAATACCTACAAAAATGTTCAAGCCTGAGTTTGTATAGAAAAAGAAAGAAAAAGATTTCCTATGCACTGATTTTTTCGGAACATTTGCAGGATCGCCTCTCTCGAGAAATTCTTATCAGACTATTCCTTTTACAGAAAAATATTTCCGTTAAAATCGGTATCAAAAACTTCAACCCGCACTATTTTGAAAATTTGCTGAAGTTGGAGAAGTTTGACATTGAAAATTGTATGTAGTGTATTGATCCTATCTTACATTGTTCATGTTTTGTTTTAATGAGTCTCACCAGTGGCGCAGAAATTTACAACAACCTGTATCTTGGTGATGGGACATAATAGGAGCTATGATGTTTATAGAAGCTTTTTTGTTATTTTTGGATGTATGTACGTTCTAACCCAGAAATATTGCCAGGTTTTCCTGAAACGTATAAAGTATATTTACACCACAAACGTACTGCGCAAAACCCGATGGTTCAAATCCATTTTGTATCAGAACTTTGAGGCATCTGATCCTCAAGATTAAACAGGATCATTTTATTGTCACTGAGACATAAGGCGTCCTTTCATTCGTATAATCAACTTCAACCGACTTTAATCATTGATTAACGTCTTCCACATGAAGGCAGCCAACTGCATTTAGCAATGTGGTTTACTATACACAATTTCCACTCTAACAGCGATGATGCCAAATGGGATGGGCATAAATTCTTTAGACGGAATAAAAATACACTGCACATTCCTTAAAAAAAAAGAATTGTTTAATAATTGTTCCTAGGATTTCGTTTTTTTTTAGAACTTCTCGGAGACAGAAAGATAATTCCAATGATGTCCCTAATATTTGGATATAGCGGCAACAAAGTAGTTCCATACAGAAGCGCCACCTGGCGATGGTGACACGATGCTCGGAAAGAATAGGACTAACATCAAGGATATTGCATTTTCTGTGTAAATATGGTAAGGACATTACAGATCCTAAATCATTACGCCAATTACTCTTTTAAACATAATGGCAAACGTGGCTGAACCGTTTATCCTCAGTCGTAAAAGGAACTGCTACCCAAGATGGACGGAAAATAAAACATTTTATTGTAGCTTCTAAATTTAATGAACAATTCACTGTCTTGAGAATCAATGTTCAATTAGATCAGAACTTTGCTAGGGATAATATTGATATGTGACCTAATTCCCTATATATTTCACCAGTTTCAGTATATGACGTTCATTCAGTTTCCCAGTTAAAAAATTCAAATTCTTGTGCATATGATTATGTCTCAAATAAGTTACTTCAAACATGTGTTTATGAAATACAGATATACGCCTCTATCGTTTTAGATTATATTGTCATGTGAACAAGGAAATTTTCCGAGCTTTTTAAAACTCGTATTAGCAATCCATAAAAGAAATGATCCGAATGACTATGCTAATTACACAGGCGTTCGCCTGCTATCCGGTATTTTAAAGGTTTTTGAGCTGAATGTGAAAAGACAACAGCATGGTTTTATCAATCAATCAAAAGTACTGAAACTGCAGTGTACAGATTTTACTGAGTACGAAATCACAATGAGAATAGACTTATCTCGCTCTTTCGATGTTGATCATGAGTTGCTGCTGTAAAAGCTGTGCAGAAATGAAATTCTGAGATTGCCATTACAACTTTTTCGATCATACCTTCAAGGAAGAAAGCAATATGTCCGTGTTATTGAGGCAGGTGTTCCCGAAGGATAGCTCTTGGGACATTTTCTTTTTTTACTATGCGAATGAATATATATCGACTGCAGTTTCAAGTTCTAAAATTATATCATGTACGGATGATACTAACAACTTGTTGACCAGTTCTAGTAACAATGAACTTTTTCATAATAGTGCACAGCCGCTCGAAAATGGTCGGTAAATAATCACCTTATACTAAATACAGATAAGACCCAATTAATGGAATTTTCACTAAGACACAACCGGGATTTCAGTATTTTTAATAACATTTCAGCAATTGCAACATCTCTTTCTGTAAAGGTGTTGGGTATTACTATTGATTGTCATCGTAACTTTGGAGCCACATGTGGAATTGCTGTGTCATAAATAATGTAAAAGTGCTTATGGTATAAATGTTTTATTAAATCACTGTAGTAAGCAAGTTTTACTTAGTCTATACTATTCAAGCTTTAACCGTCACTTGCGCTATGGCACTTTAAGCTGGGGATGCAGCTCACTGATAGATGGAGTTTTTCTTCTCCAGAAATATGTTATTTGAATCATTGCAAATCTTAATCGGTGTGAATCTTGCAGGGATTATTTTCGATCCTTAGGAATTTTAACAGTATTGTAATTGCATTTATAATAAATAATATCCAATAATTGAAAAGAAGATGTTGAAAAGCGCCATCATTAAGTAGTTAAGTCAGTTGAAATCATTTCTAACATAAATGTTTTAATAGCTTGAAAGAGTTATATGTTTTTCAATCTGTAATGTATTGTTTTTATTCTACCGCTTGCTTTTGACTCTTGATTTGTTATAATCTATGAATATTTAACAATGAAATAAATGTATTATTACTCATACCTTCACGGCAGTTCACGCGCGAGTTAATCTACTATTACAATAAGTTGGGACTGAACTGTAATGCGCAAAAGACTGGCTAATTAAAATCGGAAACGAGGCGGTGCTAATACATGGAGAAATAGGATACCTTGGAGTTGAGCTCAACCAGACGCTGTCAGAAAGATGTCACATCAACCGTCGCCTACGTAAGGCTAAAGTAGCACTTGTGATGTTGGATCCCATAATTGGATGGAAATCATCGACATTGATGTGAAGGTGCGAGTAATTGACGCGTGCATTCTTTCCGTTTTGGATTATGTCCCCGCTATTATTAACTGCGCAGCTTCTACGAAGGATAAGTCGTACCAGCTTGAATTCATTCGAGGTATGCTTGAAGAACGCCTATCAGGTTGGACGGAGGATTCCGCGTCTTTCATCGAAACAACTTTGGGAAATGCTCGGCAAGAATCACTACCATATCAGGGTAGCAAATGACCAACAAAAAATGTTAGTGAAGCTACACGAACAATCAATCACAGATATACCTGTCCACTTAGCTTTTCGGCACCCAGGGTATCAAAGGAGAGGACAACGCAATGTCTAGGATAGTAAACTCCGAATGTAGCAAACGACGAATACAAACGTATGTTTTAGAACCTTGACTAACATACTTCAAATAGTATTCAGCAGCATCGTGGACAGGGTGGTACTTCAAATTAGCGGTGAGTACTTTCTTTAGAAATTTTTAAATATTTTCGTTAGTGTGTTATTGCACTATTCATGTAGTTGTTCCCGAAAAGCACATTCAACTTTCAGAACACCATGTACAGTTTGAGGTAAAATGAGGTAGGTAATGCTAGCGTACATGTCAAATCATGAGTACATTTCAAGAAGTGTGCATACCTTTTGGCGCATATAATGATTGTCTCTTCGTTGTTCTCCATAATGGTGTCGCTAATATTTACTATGCAGGCTGCGGCGGAGGACGAGGCTGCGGTGCTAGCCCTCTCTCCAACAGATGGCGTATCTGTAGCAACTGCTTCTCGCGTTTGCTGTCGCAGCTGTTTGATTGGCAGCAGATCTGGTATTGGAGGGGATTTGTTTTCCATATGCGGAAAATCGACGTCTGTCGACGATGACAATCTGGCGATAAATAATGGAAACGTTTTAATCATCCGTATAACCAGTAAACACCAAGGTCAAAACTAACGTCAGCATTTGTAAACTACTTGAACGACTTCGGAAAAAATAACCAGTTTTAAAAAATGTATTTTAAACTTAAGATCTTAGAACCTTAAATGTATATTGATGGTATCACTAAGCTCTATTTAATCTCAAACATGAGTTGAATGTCACACGATCGGTATTTACTGTGGCTGTCCCATTAGTATTTACTGATAATTGCGTCAGCATCAGTGGATTTCTATGTAACCTTATACAACAATAATTATTGACATTCTGGTTATACGGTCAGTAAATATCAAATTCCATGATGAACAATGACAGATCACAGCAAATTCTGATCATATGACATGGCCTAAAGCGCACTCTCAGACATGTAAAAATATCAAACCATTCCAATAATCTTGTTAATAGAACAGATAGTAATTATGAGATTCTCCGCCCCGCCACTTTGTACGCTCAAAAATGTTACTAACATGAAACAGTTTTTAAGTAATTATATAACCCCCGATCGCGTTTTGGAGCTTGAACAAATATAAATAGTGACCGCAAACAACATAAAAGGCTTTTGAAGTGTGTGCAAGTCGAAATACAATGAAATTTAGCACACAAAACATGACACAGAATAACATTATTATTACGATAGGAAAATATTTAATTTCCATGAAAAAGTACAATGGTTGGTATACATGTACCGCGGATAAAACCGCGGGGCGGAAAGCTTGTATAGGTACAAAATAGTGACAGCCCTTAGACCACCTTGGGCGGATGTCACAAGATCAATATTTACTGAAGTCCATACCATCGGTATTTACTGATCATTCAATGGATTTCCGCATAACCTTATACATCAGTAATAACTGACATCATGGATACACGGTCAATAAATATCAAATTCCATGATAAATACTAATGGATCACAGTAAAAACGGATCGTGATAACCTCATTGTTGGTACTTTCATCGGGCAGAGAACTTGAACGAATTCCAAACCAATCTGCAAATGTCCTATCCGACCCTGAAAACTACATCCATGTCGAAATCTAGGCTTACAGTCGAAAAATAAAGGTATGTATTTATACAAACTTGTGATTGACCTTGGATGCTCTCAATCAGCCTTTGTCGCAGAATAAGCTATTAACTAACATCTATGACGTTATCGGGCTCTGCCGCAAGATCAGTTCTTAACAGACATTTATTGCCTGTGTGTTTACCCGCTGCCAAATTTGAGGCCTATATGAAAAATGATACAAACTTGTGAATTTATCTATCATACAATATACAAAATCAAGGAATGAGTGTGTAGCAGTTCTTAGGAGAGAAAAAATACTATGATAATAAAATCGAAAGCATTAAAAATAATTCTAAGATGATGTGGAAAACATTATAGAATATTGTTTCGCCAAATAGAAAGACTGAATTTTCTAAAATGCATTTCGAAGTGACAGAAAAAATAATGATAGCAGAAAGAATGAACGCTTATTTTATAGACAGTATATACGTAGTCATGCCATAAGTTCTGTCCCTCATTTTCAAACAAGTGTAGACCTGTTAATACTTGTCCGATTGTTTACATTGTGGTGTCAGTTGATTAAGCGCTTTTCGGGTAATTACATATACCTCACTTTGTATTGATCTCTCGAAGCATAACGATGGAGTGGGGCAAGGCAGAGAACCGTATTGCAGTGATAGCTTTACATAAGTGTAATCACAGTGCTAGTCAGATTTTTGAACTCTTACGCGGCCTTCAAATATCGCGTAAATTTGTGTCTAGGACCATTCAGCGGTACAATGAGACGTCCTCTGTTGATGACAGGCCAAGAAGCGGAAGACCTCGTCAAGTAAGGACTCCAGCAGCCATCAAAGCCGTAAAAGCCAGGATTCAAAGGAATCCACTCCGGAAGCAGAAGATCCTATCCAGGGAAATGAAGATTCCTGTCCGGACGATGTCGCGCATCATTAAACAAGACCTAGGGCTAGGGGCTTACCGGAGACGTACGGGCCAGCGACTTACGGCCACCTTGCGACACATCAGGGCGACAAGATCCAAGAAGCTCTTGGAGAGGTACGCAGCTGGGGGATTCCGAAAGATTTTGTTCACGGATGAGAAAATCTTCACCATAGAAGAAAAATTCAACCGACAAAATGACAAAGTGTATGCAAGGAGTTCACAGGAAGCTTCGGAGATCATTCCGAGAGTTGAGAGAGGCCACCACCCTGCGTCAGTCATGGTTTGGTGGGGGGTGTCCTACGAAGGGGTCACTCAGCTCCATTTCTGTAAACAGGGCGTGAAAACAAAAGCGGCAAACTATCAGAGCGACATACTGGATCCTATCGTCAAGCCTTTAAGTGGTACATTGTTTGCCAACCAACAATGGGTCTACCAGCAGGATTCCGCCCCCGCTCACAAGGCTAAGAGTACGCAGCGCTGGCTGGAAAGCAATGTGCCAGAGTTCATTGCTGCGGAAGATTGGCCCTCAGGGAGTCCGGACCTCAATCCTTTAGACTACAAGTTGTGGGACCTGCTAGAGCAGTTGGCCTGCTCCAAAGCCCACCGTAATATCGAGTCCCTGAAAGCGGATTTGATCCGATCAGCGGCAGCTATTCCTTTGGAAGCTGTGCGTGCAGTGATAGATGAGTGGCCCGCGAGATTGAAGCAGTGTGTGAAGGCCAAGGGGGGACATTTTGAATAAAACTGTTTGATTATGAATTCTAAAAATGTTGTCGAATAAATAATATCTTTCATATAAATATATCTTATCTTGTTTCATTTTTATCATGAGATTATCATGGGACAGAACTTATGGCACGACTACGTAACTTATATTCATTACAAGTCATGAATGAATCTGAGACAATAAACATCAAAAATCAAAGAAAAGCTATCTCAGAATTGAAATCTGATAAAAATTCAAGTGAGAATCTCTCCAAAAAGATTTTAAATGATTGTTTCAATATAGTCGGAGAGAAATTATTATTATTGGTGAATCACTGTTTAGTAGACACATGGTGAATTTCCATCAAAATTAAAGTGTGCCACCATTACCAAAAGTTCAACATTCTGAGCTATTATACAACTATGCGGTCAATTAATGTTTTATCAGATGTCAAGAAGCTAATCGGTGGGATAATATACAAACAAATTATTGGATTCATTGAAGAAAACTGGCAAAAAAAATCAAGCTGAATTTAGAAAAAAATATTCTATAGAAACAGGAATCCAAATGGTGGTGGAAGACTGGAAAAGTATAGATGATAAAGAATGTATTGTAACAGTACTTTTAGACTTCAAAATAGATAGATAGATAGAAAAAAGAATGTTAATAATGAATGAAACTACATCAACTTTTTACAAAATTAATTAGTAAATAGAAGTCAAATAAATTAAGTTGGAATATTATGTCAAGCATTCAAAATATATCAGTAGTGGTGCCAGGGGAGTAAATTAGGGCCATTACTATTTATTATTTTTATAAATGCTATCTCTGACACATTGATATATATATATATATATAGCACATAAGCATTTGGACACTGCTTTAGAACTGTTAAATAGTGATCTGAAAAAAAATTATGAATTGGTTAAATGTTAATAAACTTATATTAAACACAAATGAAACAAAATGTATGTCAATAGGGAAACATTTAGGTGACAATACAATTAGGCTCATGATTAATCATAAAAACAAATCATTTAAATCTCTGGGCATATATACTAAGTGACATATAAATCCGAACACCCAGTTTAAATGGTTTTATTTTAATAAAATTTTTTATAAGTACTTAATGAAGCATAATAAGTAAATGATAAAAATTTCAAAATGATTGCACTGCTTTAAAGCCTTTTGACCTTTAATAATGTGTGGATGCACCCTGATGTGCTACGCATTCTCCAACGCGCCTAGGCATGCTTCTGATCAGGTGGTCAATGTCCTCCTGTGGTATCTCATTCCAGGCAACCACCAACTCCTCTCGAAGTGCTTCTAGAGTCTGAGGAGGACGTTGCAAATTGAGCAATCTCCTACCCATCATATCCCACACGTGCTCAATTGGGGATAAGTCGGGAGATCTTGGTGGCTATGGTAACAATGTGACATCATTATGTTGAAAGAAGTCTATTGTGACTCTTGCAACATGTGGTCGGGCATTATCTTGTTGGAAAGTTGGATCTGCCAGGGTGTCAAGATAGGATAAAAGATGGGGTTCTAGAACTTCGTGGATATAACGCTGCGCGTTCATGTTACCTCTGATGAAGATTAAAGGTGACCTGGAACCAAAAGCTATAGCACCCCAAACCATAACTCCAACAGTGTGATGAACATGTCTTTCAACAAAAAACTGTGGATTTCTCCTTTCACCACGTCGCCTTCTAACCCTGGCACGACCATCGTGCATGCCTAAACAAAATCGAGACTCGTCACTAAAGACCATTCCTGATCCCAGAGTGACCGTTGTCTGCACCACTCAAGGCGATTACGTCGGTGTTCTCGAGTTAAAGGGAGGACCCAGTGTGGCCGGTATGAAAACAAGCCAAAACTTCTCATTCGTCGGTAAACACTTCGCATGCCAATAGGTCTTCCGTGTTCTGCAAACCATTCATTCGAAATGGACCTGGTAGTGGAGAAACGGTCCCTTAAGGCCAATAATCTTAGGCGGCGATCTTCACGGTCTGTTGTTCTACGGCGGCGTCCAGTGCCCCTTGCTCTTTGCGTACGGCCTTCTCGAAGCCATGCCTGACAACACCTAACCACAGTGTCTGCACTTCTTTGCACTCTAACTGCAATTGCCCGAAAAGAAAGGCCAGCTTCCCGAAGTCCCACTATACGGCCCCTATCAAACTCACTAAGTTGATGAAATCGTACAGGTCTCCGTACTCTAGGCATCGTAACCGATCGTAAAGGATGTCAAGAACCAAAATCCGCCAACGTTGATTCTTTACTGCGGCTGAAATATTCATTTTTAGAGCGTTAGTGAATTAAAAAAAGCAGTATAAAAACCGGAATGTCCAACTGATAAGGCTGAACATTTTTTCACTTGTTATTTACAGTAAGATAAATACATTCACCAACTTTTATTAAAATGAAACCATTTAAACTGGGTGTTCGGATTTATATGTCACTTAGTATATATGTGGATAGTAAAGTACTGTTTCACGAGCATTATGAATACGGTATTTCAAAAATATCAAAAAAGATAAAATACTTCTATAGAGTTTTCCTTAATTTTAGTATCTACGAGCCACTTCCCACTTCAGTTGGCCCAACTATTGAAATCAAACACAAATAATAAAATTGTAGCAGGGTGTTATAGGTTTAAAATATTAACAACGAATATTTTGATAATATATAGTAGAAAACACCAACTTTATCACTGCCTAATCAAATATGCAGCATAAAAATAACACACGTTGCAATTACAGCATATCAACCTATTTTCATTTCAATGCAAAATAAGTCTATAACGCATAGGTGGCTGTGAAAAATAAAAGCCATGACAATTGTTTTTATTAATTACAGCTGTCAGAATACGTTTAAAATAGTTTTGGGTTTTCAAAATGGGTAGAGGAAAGGTTATTAGTGAGAAAATTCGGTTACTGATAAATAAATTTTTTAATTCTGGGAAATCAAACTCAGAAATTGCAACTGTTAGACTTATCGCGGTACAGTGTGAGAAATGTTGTTAGAAGATATAAAGTAACTGGCTCAGCTAATATTAAGCCACGATATGTGAAAAAAAGTAATATCACAAATGCCGACCGAAGAGCATTAAGAATAATCGTGAAAAACAGGCGTGCGAATTATTTACAATTAAGTGCTCTGTGGAGTGAAGCTGTTGGAAGGAGAATTTCGTGGTCCACAACTCATAGAGAGGCTCACAAACTGGGATTTAGCACTTGCAAGGTAAGTTTTCTTATAAAAAAAAGTGAAGTAAAAACCCGAAAGTTGCACAACTTGTTTATAGTCCAAAGAAAAGCCACTATTAACTCTACTGCAAAAGAAAAATCGGCTTAGATGGGCTAAAGAACATAGAGAATGGACACCTCAACAATGGTGTGCAATACAATAGAGTGATGAGGCCCGAACTTTGTGTTGGTGACAGTCGCAAAAAAATGAAGCATTCCAAGTTGACTGTCAGAAGAGAAAACTAAATTTCCAGCATCGATTATGGTCTGGGGCAGTATGTCATCAAAAGGAGTAGGAAAACTTCATTTTATTGATGGAAATGTGGATACAAACAAATATTTGGCAATTTGAGAAGAATCGCTTTTACCAGTGATGAAAGAATGTTCGACATCCGGCCAAGATTTTGTGTTTCAGCAAGATGGTGCAGCGAGCCATACCTCAAAAAAGGCTATAAAATGGATGGAAGAAAATAATGTACCACTTTTGAAATGGGTTTCTAGCAGTCCAGATCTGTCACCCATTGAAACTTTGTGGCACGAATTGAAAAAGGTTCTACGACAACATCCTGCTAGTACAATCACCAAACTGAGACAAAAGCTTCAAGAAATATGGGATTTTTTTACACCAAATTTTTGCCAAAACTTGGTTAACACTATGCCCCAAAGAATTTCAGCCGTAATAAAAAATAAAGGTGATGTTACCCAAAGGTAATCTTTCAATAATTGTTGCTTTGTTAACTTCGCGCATTTATTCGCACATTGTTGATTTGTTCAGGTGTTCTATTAGTTATAGGTCTAAGTGATTTTAAATATGTATTGTTTACGACTAGAGTGTATCTAAAATGTTTTTGTGTAAATAAATTGTTTTAGAAGTAAATAGTTTCGTCATGTTTAGTTTATAAAGACATATTTTGGTACAAATCTTGAAGTGGGCCAACGGAAGTGGGAAGGGGCTCGTATTCCAAAAAATTATATAAACGCTAATACTTCCCATTTTTTATATTGTTCAACCATTTTATTTACACCAAAGGAAAACATTTTCAAAATCACAAATTCTACAAAATAACGCTATGAGAATGATTTTAAATAAAAAAAATCTACTGCTAGGATTAAGTCTATGTTAGAAGAACTACAGTGGTTGAATGTAAAACATTTCATACATTATTTAGTTATCATTTTGATATTCAAATTAAAAAATCATTTATTACCACCACATTTAGAAAACTTCACAAAATTAAACAGCCATTCTCATAACTATGAAACTAGAGGCAGTATATATTTTCATCTGCAAAATTGTAATAGTCACATAACTAGCAAATCCGTATTTCCAAAGGGAGTATTTCATTTTAATAAATTGTATAATGATATTAAAATGTGTTCAAATTTCTAAATGTTTAAGGTGAAATTAAAAAATGACTTTATGAATTCTCAAAATGCATACTTTGTTTGTTTGTTTAAGATTTATTTAGCATGATTGCTACAATTACATTCTTCTAAAAAACTAAACAATTACATAAAATACACATATTTAGAAAAAAATACAAAATTTGCATCTGTATGAATTTTCATTGTCCATGAAATATTCCTTTAATTTTCTTTTGAATATCTTTAAATTACAAGTAGACTTTATATCATTATTTAGTTTATTAAATTCAAGTAATCCTTTCTGAAATATTGATTTGCTAGTTATATTACTATTGCAATTTTGTAAATGGAAATCTATATTTCCTCTTGTATAATAATTTTGTTAATGATTATTCAATTCAATGTAGTGTTCTAAATGTTCTGGCAAAAGATGATTTTTTATTTTAAATATAAAATTTATATTTAACCACTGCAAATCTTGTAACATAGATTTTATTTTGGTGTACTTATTTTTATTCAATATCATTCTCATAGCTTTATTTTGCAAGAATTGTAATTTTGAGAATACAGCTTCATTGGCAGTGAACAAGATAGTTGAACAATATAGTAAATGCAGTAGAATAATTGTATTATAAACTATTTTCTTGGAATAGGTACCAAGACTATGAGAAGCCCTATAAAAGTAATTTGTTTTTTTTTTTTGCAATTTTTGATAATGTATTCATAGTGATCTTCAAACATTAGTTTACTATCTCTATATGTATACCTAAATACGTATATTTAATTGATTCAACATTTTCAATTATTTCTCCATTTATCCTAACTGTGATAGTATTTTCATTTAGGTATTTCCCTATTAGCATACATTTTGTTTTAGACGTATTCAATTTTTATTTATTTGCATTTAACCAATTTACGATTTTTGCCAAGTCAGAATTTAACATTCTTAAAGCAGTGTCTATATTTTCATCTGATATGCATATTAATATATCATCTGCAAATATCTGAAGTTTACAATAATCTAAAATATTACAAATGTCATTAATGTATAAGATAAATAGTAATGGACCTAATTTACTACCTTGTGGTATAGTGATGCAATTTTGTAAGTAATTTATCCCTCTCAATAGTCCAAAAACACTGTTACTGTATGTTTCCTATTGTCCATACATCTCCTCTAGTCCTCTAAAACCATTTGTGTTGCCATAATGTAATTTTAATAGATAAGAATGTAAAATTACAGAAAAAGGATTCAAAAAATATGCAAACAAATAATTATACAAAATTGACATTGTAGCAATAATGCAGTAATGTTGTTTTCCGTAGATCGTTTCGAGAGTTGTCATCAAGATGCTATTGGTGTCTAAGATAGCATTTCACACAAAAAAAAACAATGTGCTTCCTTTTCTGGTGATTACGCAATAGATAGTCAGTTTTTACCTTTTGCCATTTTTTTGCCTTCAGCCTTTAACGTTGTCTAATTACCCGTTTACCGGACAGACAGAATAACATATTAGCCTAAATGTTTTGTAAACTCCAAAACTTCTGACGAATTGACTGAAAAACATCTAGCTGATCAAATAAACACTGCTAAATGACAACTGTGTAAACAAATTTTATATGCTTTAGACATAGTAAATGATAATAAATACTAACTCAGACTTAAGGCTGGTACACGACCTAGTCATGGCTCCAACGGTCCGCAGTCGTTTGACAGGAGGAGGTCTGCTTTGATGTTTGGTCAATGTAGATTGTCTAAGTTTGATGGTGGTCTTGAGCGGTGGTCTTGTACTATTACTGTTTGCCTGTTGCAGTGTATCTGATGCAGCTGCAGTGGTCCAGGAACATGAACGGTCCCCCCAAATGGGCTCAAAGTGTTTCAGTTTCCATGGGTCCACCTGAAAAATTAGCGGTCAGCTATTAATTCATATACAGGGTGCACCATCTTTTATGTATGTAAACATGAAATAACTTTGAAAACGAAAAACTGATTTCTATATATCGGGTATTTTTATTAAATATGGTCCTTTACAATTTATTGGGACTAGTTTTTGAACACAACATCTATCAAGTGGCCACCTTTATTGGCCAAAACAAAATGTGCCCGTTATGCTGCGTTTGGGCGTATTCCAAGCGACGTGGACGGTCAGTTGGCAATATGTTTTGTGTTAACTGCACCTTATGAGGAAACAAATGCAAATCATCCTTCATAATGCGCCAAAACGTGGTTCCACTGATGCCAAAATGCTGAGCGCGGTGACGATACAACACTTTTGGGTTCTGGGCACCGCTGCCTCTGACCGCTTCATCCAATTTATTGGAACGTCTTGGTCGTTGATGAACGGTATGTTGACGATCTCCCACTGTCCCGTACTCAAAAAAATTCGAAACCAAACGGCGCGACGGATAGTGTTGTCAGACGGTGCCTGTTTGCCACGATATTTTCGACGATATGCTAACTGAACGACAATTTTCAATGTACATTGCGACTATTTCGGCGCGCTGTTTCGGTGTAAAGCGATTCATGACCAAAATTGTAGTACATTAACGTTTCAGAAACACGTATAACCAAATCACTCAGTTGATAAATATCAAAGTCGGTTTCAATACGGACATAAAAGATGGCGCACAAGGTACTAAATGGATACATATCTGCAAATTCTAGCATTCTTAGATATTAGTACAGAAACAAATGTTTATGAGTTCTAATTTGTCACATACATGGTTTACAAGATACAGAAGCTTCAACGATTTTTATGACTTGTACAAACTGTATTGAAAAAATAAGAATTATTTCCTGGTAAGTCAACTGTCAGTGTGTAAGTGAACTGATCAACTTAATTTGCCAATTATTTAAAAAATTAATGTATCAACTGTTGTACATAAATCTATTCAAGTTTTGTGAAATAAATTAGTGAATAAGGATTACAATACAAACTACATTAAAGTAGGTATCAATTGGATAATTCACCTTATTTCGTTCTTTGTCAGCTTCAAGTTTGAGTTTCTGTTGGTTTTCTGGAGTGAATTCACCTTCAGCTAGACGGTCTTGCCACTCAAGACATGCCCTAGCAAAAAACTCGTTATTCAAACCTGAGTTGTTAATTTCCAATGAATTGTTGTCGCCACTTATGTTATGCCTATCTACACTTGGTAATAGTTGAACCTGAAAAAAATATTGTAACAGAATTTATTTGTGAGAAAACGAATACAACTAAACTAGCCAATAGCTAGACCAGCATACGCTAGTGTTGGTCTTTTGGATTTCACATTAAACAAAAGAGCAACTAAATAAATTTGTATTATACTATGTGCAGCTAAAGTAATTTCATTTATCATTTTGAACTTTGCAAGGTCTACAAATACCTATGATCAGATTATCCATACATACCAATTTATTCTGATATAGAAGAGGCAAAGCAGCAAATGTAGCCTTGTTAAGCAGGTGTCTCAAATTTGTGTTGACTAAAATTGAATCAGGGGTTTCCAAATCGATTCGACCCTCTTTTGTTTGCTCCAGCTGTGCTGCTGTTGATAACTTCTTGCCTGTACGGCGACGCGGTTGCATGGCAAAACCAGGGATGGAAGCTAGTACCTGAAATTGGACATTTTCAATATTATCAAACAGGAATGCACCGAGTACTAGGTTTGTACGCAGTAATAGGCATACTCGGCCCGTTTTATAGAGTATCCGGTTAGTCTGCGCGGTGTTCAGCAAATAAAATCGTAAAATAAGAAAGGTTTACCCATAGTAACACCTGGAAAAACTCACAAAATCAAAAAATGCGGGACCGATGATGTAAGTGATGCCGTCGAAACAGAAATTAGGAAAACTTTCTATGATATGAGAAGTAAAGGGCAACAAATCACGACCTCTGCGCTCAAGATCCGTCCGTGGTACGGAGATTCGATCTGTTTACTTATTTCATATGGAGTTGATGATGTAACCGCCAAGAATGGTGACTACAACTATAGGGCTGTTAGGACTGGATGTCCAGATACCAGAAAAAGTCAGTGCCTGAAAATGGAAAATCAAGGAGTTGAGCAAAGATGAATAAGTGGATCAGCTAGTCATTGTTATGAAATAGCTGCACCTACAGCTTGTTATTCTGTTTTTGATTCTATTTTACATTATGGACTTCTGGTTTGGAGCTCTGCAGCTAATATACATATTGAAAAAGTATTTAAAGTTCAGAAATCTGCAATAAGAAGAATTGCTAATTTTAAGCAACATGTATCATGTAGGCATTGCTTTAGATCATTGAGTCTGATGTAGATCACCTTTCGACTACTGTGAGACAAATTAAGACTGATTTTAAATTTAAGTAAAACATCCTTATCTCATTTTATTTGTTTGTTAATTTTTATAGTTTTTCTTTGTCATTATTTTTTAGTTATAAGTTTTTGTGTATTCTCTGTTTCTCTACTAGCCAGTAAACACTCCTACATGTAACTACATTCAAATGTGTTTGTAAGCGTTTAAATAAATAAATAAATAATAACTTTGTATGGCCTGAATATCTATGAAAAATTAAGTAAGAAAAAATATTTCAGTCTTTTTCATGAGTGCAGATTTTCACTCATACAACACAAGACATTGCAATAATCTGGTACTTCCAACAAACAGATTGGCTAGAACCAACAGTGCAGAAATCAAATTGTACAATGGGCTGCCAGATGAGGTGAGATCAGTTCAGCTGAGCAGATTTAAATGTAAATTGAAATCTGTAATAACTAGGGCCTGTATTTATAGTTTTGAGGAACATTTTGGACTGGCAAGTGAGAGTCAGGCCTTCTTGACTAAATTGAATGCATAATTTAATAATGTTATTGACACTTGACTTGACATGTAAAATCGAATTAGTGTCTTTTTGTATATTGAGTTTATTATAGTTAGTGTACTTTTACATCTATGATGCTGTACTTTTTTCATTACTGACATGTCTATGTATACTTGTGTATCTTTTCTATGATCAATAAAGATTATTATTAACCAAGGTTAAGAAATTTTAAATCAAATTTGGGTTGCAGGTCATAGTAAAGCTGCGAGTATCACTTTCCTAAATATTGATACTTCCCTGTAACATATCGTCTGCACCACCCCATGTACTCAAACTCGCTCAGCTACCCACTGCCAGAACATATCTGCTCACCTCTGGCCAGCTGTGATTAAACCATTCAGCTACAGCATGTCCAAATGTATTCACTCTGTGATGTGTTTACAGCAAAAAGCAGCACAAACCACACTTTGGACTACCACAACATTGTTAGGAAAACACATCAATTAATGATCCCATGGAAAACAGTTGTTTTGAGAATGGATAAAATTCAATGGACAAAACTTCACCAACAGGAATCTCTTATTCTGAAGTGCAAATATGTGGTTTTCTGAGAACAAACTAAACTAAATCCAAAACTGATGCAACGTTAAGAACTAAGCACAGTAATGTTGTTAAACCACAATGTATTTACATAGATGAGTTTAGTTTGAAGTGCAAATTTCTTAGGCATCTGTATTGATTAATTTTTGGTTTCGACAATACATGTACTCGAACTGATGGAAAGGCTTAATTCCATTTGCTATGGTTTTAAGCTAACATCAAGATATAATATATACTTTGAGACTGAAAATGTACTGTGCCAAATGTTTAAAATTTTTCAATAATCTACCAAATGAAATTAAACACAAATCTTATTGTTTACACAAATTTTAAAATACCATTAAGCAGTTTCTAATACAGTGATGGCATTATTTCATGGATGAGTTCCGTGTTAGCTGTAATGAATAACCTCAGGTTATAACTGTTTTAAGATACATAACCATTATTCAGAAAATAAAAGATCAGAGGTAAGCTACTATAGCCAAGATGTTATTGATGCAACATTTCATTTTATAGAGGCTATGGATTTTCTGTAACATCCATATACAACTTAAAATATATATTATTATTATTATTATTATTATTATCATTGATATTATGCAACTCAAAGGTATCTATGTTACTTGATTACAAGGTAATATCAAATTGTCTTATAAAGCTAAAATTCCATAACCATCTACTGAAAACCTTGCTCATGAACTGTTTCTCCCAAGGAGAGCACATCTGAGCAGATGCCTTTAGATAAGCTGTAGCCAAGTAGTTTAATCACACCTGAGCAGAGATGAGTAGATGTATTTTGGCTGCATGTAGCTGAGACAGTTTGAGTGTTGCAGACCATCTGTTATTTGGAAGTACCAATATGTACCTAAAAGAAATTACAAATTACACTGGCATTTTTATCAGTCGTATGCAACTATGCATTGACAATGGAAATTCAAAAATCAAATAAGTAAATAAGATTAATCTCTCGTACCTCTCGCATGGTGGGTGTTCTACCAGTAGACACAGGAGTAGGCTCTTCATTCTGCGGGGGTAAAGGCTTGACTATAATGCGGGGCACAGGTTGTGTGTTGTTGGCAAGGATGGTGTTTTTTCTTCGACGCTTAGCTTGCTGTCGAAGTGCATGCTTGATGTTTTTCTTGGCATTGAGACTGGCATCTCGAGTCTGGTGTGTGGCTGACTCGTAGCCCGAGCCGTCGCATTGAGAAGGAGCCACTTCGCTGGAGTCTGGTTCACCCGTCTCTGGGGTAACGTCTATTTCCATTACGCGGCAGGCATCAAGTTCTTGTCACTCAAACGTGATTTTAAACCAAGATAGCACGTAAACAGACTCGGCTCCTCTTAAAGGATTCATCCCATGTTGGGATGCCGTCTAAATATTTTACGCTGGAATAAAATCAATATGCAATTTATGGAATGTCCAGACATTTGTATCCACGTATTTTCACTATTCATTAAGTTTTAAATCACCAATTATTTGACAAGTACACTGCGATGCCATCCGCCATTTCATAACTTGGGCCTTAAAATAAACAGGGAAATGTTTTCTTCAATTTTCAGACACAAAGGACAGCAACTGCCAATCCGTGGACCTTCATGATATGTCAATGTCAAAGTCGGCAAAAAGCATTTTGAGCGAAAATGGTAACGGCCAATAAAAAAGAAGCGGTTAGTAACGTGGTCAAAGAGATGTGGTTTCAGGAGCGTTAACCAGTCAGGAAGCTGTCTTGGAAGGGTCACGTAATCATTACCGTCCCCCTATTGCTCCCACAAACGACGGTTCCCACCCACAGATGAAACGGCATCTTCTAAAACCGGTCCCACATGATGTGGCGAATGCCTTACAATGTTGGACATAAGGCCATTCACAACATCTTGTGTCATTACAGGTGTCCAACGTTCACCACATGGCACGTTTGAGCTCTTGTAGGTAAATTTGACCTGCGTCAAAGGACGTTACAACGTTGGAAGCATGGTTCGTTACGCTCCCACTCGAGATGTCATGTCCATGTGTTTGATGGCTTTAGGCAGGGGGGTGAAACGTCTTATGGGAGAACTGGCAACACCAAGGTCATTCTCTCCTTGCACAAAGCACATAAATCTCCAGGCAAAATCTAGGACACTTTCTTACCAACAGAGTTTAATCAAATCCAAGCGAATAACCAAAATTTCTGTGTTTTGTACCGCGGTTATAATATGGTTCAAAATGACACACGGGTTGATGACGTCAGTTACACAAATTGCTTGAACGCGTTGGTTTTAACCGCGGTTTTGTTGCAAATTGTTTATTTTAGAAAAGTGCGTATATAATCTCTGATTATTTTTATTATCACTTAATAATCGGTGCTTTTTTGTCTACAATGGTGTATGTAAAGTTTAAATAAGAAACCTTTCATAATATTCATGGGAGAAATGTTTTTTCCAGAAATTTTTTTTTATTGATGGAACCATGGTTTTGTAGCTATGATAACTTTCAATTCTCTAAAGCTTTCCGCATGTCAGAAATGATGAAAAAAGATATTAGCAAAACCGTATACAGGTGGACATCATCCAGTGAGTTAAACCGCCATATTTGAATATTCTTGTGGTATATGGCTACACAGGATACTTTGTTAAACATAGGAACTAGATTGAAAGTGTTCCCAACAGCAATGAGTATAACTAATAAGGTGCTCCACTTTATGCTAACACTGAAGTCAGCCTGTATCAAGTTTCCCAAAAATGAAGCTGAAGTACAATAACAATGTCCGATAACCGGCAAAATTCTAACTTGACACATTTCAAATAATAACTAGAAATATAAAACTACTCCTGAGTTGGGTAAATACCACAATTTTGCGGTGATAACTGTGACATATAACAGCTGATTCATGACGTCATGGATCTTATAACCACACTCGCTTGAACGGATAGGTAAATACCAACCCAAAATGGTAAATACCATTTTCAATTGGTTATCCGCTTGAATTTGATTTTTGATTTTTAACATACGACAGTTTGACTTTCCCTGGAAACTTCCATTTTGTTTTCAATCTGTGTTTTGATTGGGGTAAATTGGGTAAGGTGCAGATTAAATTTTTAATTATTGATTTAATTCCCAATCGAGAAAGTATCGTTCATAATCTTCATATAATAATTGTACTAATAACCTTTGTCATATATTTTGCAATGTAAAACAGTTGTGACTGTGTGCAGGAATACTTAAGATTGCATACTTCAATAAGCTTGTTTTTCTTTTGTAACCCACCTGGGTTCATGCAAGACTTAACGTAACTTAACTTAAGAAAATGAGCATTTAAAGCGCATGCGCGGCCAGGATTGCCAATGTAGCAATGGCGACAATATCAACATTAAACACACTAACAAAATCATATGTTTAACGTCAAGGTAGCAGATGAAAGAGTGTTTTGTGGCTTTTGTGTTGCGTGGACTGGCGGACCAGCCTTGACATTGACAAGTGGCCCCTCCCCACTCGCTTGCGCCAATGCACTGGTAATCAAGTCACAGAACTCGGATAATAGTCCAGATAATATCGGAACATCTGCTCGGAAAACCCTTCCGATTCCTATTTTTGCATAATCTGATTCAAGGACCTCTTAAAGAATCTGCATGTGACTAGGCCCAAAATATGCTCCTAAAATTGTTATTAAACCGATTCCAAAAATTCATTTGTTCGTTTTGTTTATAGTATTTTGCGGTTTTTAGGACATTCTAAATAAAAATTGAACTCTAGAACTTTTCTCTAGACTTGATATATACAGGTATAAGCAATGTAAAAACTCAAAATATGTCATTTGCTACCCTAAAAACAATATGAAAAATGAATATTTTGATGTTGCCAAATCTCACACATGCTTCAACCAACCAATAACAAAACCCCAGAGCATTTCAATGCGCGCTCGATGTATAGTCTATGTCTATGTGAACGCGAGAGAGAGATGAAATATCTCTCGTGCACGCTGAATATGCATTGAGCGTCCGCTTGCATATCAATTAAATACAAAGATTTATAATAACAGTATCTCCTAAAAGGTATCGTTAATGGTTATTTATGAAGCATGGCGACATTAACATTTTCGTTTTTTCAGATCGTTTTTCGGTATCGCAAAATCAATTTTTTGTACTTTCCCATCTCGTACAAAATCAACTTTTGACAAACATCGTTTTGTTTCGGAGTATAAAAAAAAAAGAATGCTACCTTTGATGAAGCGAAAACATTAATTTTTGTAATTTATTTGAAAAAGTTGTTCAAACAATTAGAGACGCAATTTGGAGCCTGACAACATGTAGATTTGTTACTAGGAGGCTTTTTCGAATAACATGCAAAAAGTCCGAATCCGAATATTTTCCTGAGCAGATGTGAAGATATTTCTTGGACTATAACGACGGCAGCGCTACCTTTATTGGCTGGAAATCTGGTGCAACTAAAAATATTGAAAGTATGCCGACAACGCATATCAGGAATGTGTCGGCGATTTTAGTTGTTTACATTACGAAATCTGACTGACGACCTTCCCGATATTGAGGCAGTTCGATGATCATAGATGCATAACACATCCTCAATAAAGGAAGTATTTATTTCATCAGTTTGACTAGTAATGAATTTCAGGATAATAAAAAAATGTATAATTAAGAAAATATTTATTGAACAGTCCCAGCAATAATAGAACACATTCTTCATTACAATAAATTGTACATACATAGAAGTATTCTACTCATCTGGATTTTTCTCTATATTATGAACCTGATCAGTGCAATATCATGCAAGCACTATCTCTTGTTAATTGATCATGTATATTTATTGCGAAAACATAAATACTAAAATAACAAAAAATACATCTGTAGTTAGAGGACTGACTGGAATACAAATATAATCACTCTGATATGTGAATCAAAAATAGTTTTGCGCACACTGTTAAATGGGTAAAGGCAAACAAAATTGTCCTCAACAAAAAAAAAACACATAAAACACTTCTTTAAACTAGGAAACAAACTCCTTATGTCATTGACAATTAATTTGGTATCCATAAAATAAATGACGATCTTCATTCCAACTGTCTCCTCAAAGGATGTTGACACTGTGAAACAAAAAAAAAGTTATTAGCATAATATCACTGTCATATTTGGTCAGCAGACACTAAACAGAAACATAGTCATCTCACCACGCCCCTTCAGATGATACTGCTCTGTACATATGTATAAATTCCCAATCTAGCAGTATACATTTGATTGTCAAAATTCTGTGTGTAAACAAATTTTCATTGGTGATACCAAATGCCAGTCCTTAATTCGGCCCTTTACCAGATTTGTTATTACCAACAGTACAGATGTCAGAAAAAAAGTTACTTGCTACTCATCTGTTTACCTCAATAAACGTCAAAAGAGATTACATATTTGGTGGGCTGCGAATACACAGCATTCGCCAGGTGTACACCTGGTTTGTAGTTAATGACAAAGTACCTTCACAGTGTTCTGTGAGGTTTTGGAAAAACATGTCATGGGGGGCATGGTATAGATTTAAATTCTCTTTTTTCTTCTGTAGGGGCTATAATTTGCCAACATCACCACTGGTACAGTCTCAGACATGAAAATGTCTATCAGCTATGAAGTCAGTACTACAAGCACAAAATTTTAAGATCATTTCCATTTTTTTTTTTCATTCTCTAGAATATAATTTCAAAATCCCCTATCTTGGTAAGGGGCAATTTAGGACCCATGTTTATTTTTTTCATCTGTTTTTTGATCTACTTTATGCTGTAGCAATAATGATATGTTTTGCTGAAACTACCACTATACGCACTTTGTTAGGGGATGAAGTAAACATGACCACTGACTTTAATTGTTATAATTTTTAACATACATCTCTGATTTTTTTTATCAATCCGCCCCGATGTTCAGCTCTAAACTGTCATGCGTAAGCAAGCGCAAATAATTTTTCATACAACTATCACCGAACCATCTGCCCATACAGCGATATAAAATCGATCAAACATCACACGATATAAATATCGACTATGGACTTTTGTACAGTATCGATGGCTCGTAGCCATCTTCTAATTCCAGCTGTAGCGATCAGCTGACCAACGCTAGTGATCCGACTGGTTGGTTCTTAAGATAAAGTTCAAATATATTGAACTTTATTTTAAGAAGTGACTTTGAAATAAGAAAACGACCATAACCTCAATATATTTAGTCATTTATGCAAAAATGAACTGATTTGGATACTTACTGCAACGACATCATTAGGCGCTTCTCTGGCGATGTCCGATTGCGTTCAGGTGCCTTCTGCAGGTACCTCATCAACAAGGTCAGGAGTTGATACCAGCGCGGCTTTTCGTTTTTTTTTGCTCTAGGCATGGCCATCCTCAATTAATCGCACAAAAAACAAGTCCAAGGCAGAAAAACCCGAAGACGAACACCAAAACAAATCTCTACCGCAAATTCGTCAACTCAAACAAAAACAACGGATGAGTCACCGCCTCGCTTTCTCGTTAAATCGTCGTGGAACACGAGACACCACATAATTATTATAATTACGTCAATAGTCAATACGAGCATAGAACAGTATGGAAAGGGCTATCCAAGGGTAAGACGAGTTCCGAAACCACCCGAATCATGTCAAAAAATGGGTGTGACGTCACCAAAATGTTTGACCACCACTGGAAATCATTAGCTAGTTACCTTCTGGCGGCGTAACATGTGGAAGACACTGGTGTAGAAACAGCTGATCCTTAAATTCGGTTACGTTAAGTCGTGCATAAAGAATGAACTATTTTCATAAAATTGCTGATTCAGATAGTAAACTAAAAAATTATTGAACATTTCAGAATGTCGACACCTTTCTGCGACTGGCAGATTACCAAGCAATCAATCAAGGACCGGGGCGGTTATCTCTTCAAAACAGGAATATGGAGTGACTGTAGATTCATTGTAGGGACCAACCAACAGATTATAGATGGCCACAAGCTCTTTTTGGCTATGTCTAGTCCTGTATTTGAGGCCATGTTTTTTGGAGAAATGCCTGAAAAGGATCCAATACCTATTGTTGATGTTCAGCCAGATGCTTTCAAAGCGCTTTTGGAGTGAGTCTTTAATGAATACTTTCAGTGGCAACTATTAGGGATTGACCAATGTCAATAGTATTTTGGCACTATCTGCCTAATTTGCTGATATATGGATAGGCTGATACAATTTAAAAAATTGAATTAAGAAAAAATACATTCAGTGCTGGCAATTGAAATTTGAGGATAAATAAATTCTGCCTAATGTTGAGGCCATCTAGGCCTCGGGCTTGTGGCATTTTGCCAGTTTTGCTACCCTACTTATTTCTTAGTTAACTCAGCCTTTTCACACAGCTGAAGGCTCACAGCAGTTTACAATTAAAAAACTAAACTAAATCTAATTGAATCACTTAGTGCAAAAATCTCCAAGTCTCATAATTTTAATTTTTCAGTCAGTTTTGTAAAAAATTATGATTAAAATGAAAAAGATTTCTTTTATTAAATCGTGTTTCTTTTTCTTTTCTATCAATGTGAACTGAGTTTTCCCTTACATATGGCAACAATAAACTTTGAAATAACTCATTCTCATTATTTTTCTCAATTTGCACCAAAAATATTTGTTGGCGAAAATCTCTTGGGGGTATACAAAAAAAATTGTGTTGTCTGTTTCGCTTGTTTTAAAGGAGTGAGTAGCTAACGCGAGTTGGATCATTTCTTATGGTAAGCCCATAAGCTTATTTGTAGTGTAAGTATATGCTTATAAGTAAATTGTGTGTTCCTATTTCCTATCCTTTATTGTTTAAATCATAGTTTATTTTTGAAAGAGAGCGGAAATGTCCTGAAATGGTGGTAGAAAATTTGTTGAACTTATGCAGACACTGGGAGGTTTATCAGAAAACAGAAGCAGTTCAAGCAGTTATGTTAGATACTGACAATAGTAATAGTACTAGGACTGCTATTACTTGTTCAGGACTAGATTTAAATGTAAGTACAGCTTACTAGTATTATTTGATTTATCATTTTGTCATGGGCATCCTGTTTAGTTTATCATATATTATCTTCTTGATCTGACAAAACCACAACATCTATTAGCAGATCACAAAAAGAGTTGTGCATTGAAAGCTATAGCACTTCCTGACCACTAATAATTCAATTCCTTGGCTTAGAACTTCAAAATCGCTACAATTGACTTCCTAATTTGTATTTTTTTTTTTTTTAGGTTAGCCTGAGTAACGTTTTTTGTTCATTGTACATATTGTAATATTTTTTATTTGTTATTATTTATTCATGTAGGTAGTATTAGAAACTGTTATGTTGTTGTAAACTGTGTTTACTTAAATTTAATTTAAGAATATTTACATTGGACTGATGAAGATTAGTTATATATTTAAAATTACATCCTATATGTAAATTCTTAGTGTTAAATAAACTTATCTTCCTTTTCCTGATGAGTTATTGCTGTTATTGCTTCGGACGTTTTTACAGCAATTTATAATTTGAATTATTTCACACTTAAAATTGAAAAAACCAATTGATTTAATTTGTTGCAACCCTGTTTTCAGTAGAAAATAAATATTGAGGTGGCTTTTTAATACTCTACAATGTCATACAATCAGTTTTTCACACATTGATGTGAAGTTGATCCTCGTGAAAATTAAAGTAATATGGGAAGATATCAGCCTTCTTGCAAGAGGCAAGAAGCCAGATAAATCTTATAGGCCATATTTTAATGAGAAAGTAGTCATCCAAACTTTTGTTGCAACATTATGTGCCAGTACCAGTGTTGCAAAAAATTACGATTTTTTTGATAAAATCGTGATTTTCTTGATTTCCATCAATTAGTACTTGTTTTTGTTTCTCAAATATCGCAATAATGAACTTTTAAATAACTTATTTCCATTATTTTTCTTTATTCTCCCAAAAATAATTCTTGTTTAGATTCATAGTAAGAAAATCTCTATAAAAAAACTTGTGAACTTGTGTTGATATGCGCGCGTACCGCGGCTTTCCGGTCTGAATAAGAATATTCATTCGTCTTTATAATGTGTGGTTGACCCTAGCCCTAGACTGATCATTTTTCAATTTGTAGTCAGCCCATACGTTCATTACTAAATTGCGTGTTCTATTTCATACCATTTCTCGTTTAAATCGTAGTGGGTATGAGTGCCCATATAGCAAAAATCGAGGGCGGGCATGTTGGATAAAAAATGCTGAGAACTAGCCAACCCGTTGGCGACAATTGAAGACCGGAGGGAGGGGAAGAGTGCAAAAAACTCACACGCCACTTCTTACCCAAGGATTGGGTATCTTATTAAGAATATTTCACTTTGAAGCAGAAGCCAAGAGGGAAGCATATGCCCAATGCCGCAATGGGCGCCCATGGTAGTGTATTTTCAAAAGACAGCTGAAATGTCCTGAAGTGGTGGTAGAAAAAAATATCCTATTTAGCAATATTTTATTGAAGAATCGAATAAACCGGAGGGACAAACGGGAAGCAGAGCGAGCTGTAAAACATGATAGTTTGAATTACAAGGAATTGTTGAATGGATGAAATGAAATATTTGTAATTTCTTTCAGCGACTTGTTTTTACAGCAATTTAAAATTTGCATTAAAACATGATTAAAATTGGAAACTCCAACTGGTTTAGTTTAAATCATGATGTAAATCGTCGTAACCCTCAAATTGTGGTCAAACAAAGGTGCCACCGTAATATGAAAATAACAATGAAGATTCTGATGAAACAGTAAATTATGAGTATTTTAGAACCAATTGGGCCAAAGAAATAAATGATTGTAGATATGGCAAGAGAAATTTAAATGTCAAAATCTATGAAATTTCGCTAGAACAGAATTTTGTTATTGCAATATTCCTATTGAGGAAGTCTCAAAAGTCTATGTTTTTTAGAATCAGTTTTTTAATGAGTTTGTGGAAACTAATATACATTTTATACTTTGGCGGAGAATACACAGGATTATTAGACTTTGAACATAGCATATCTGATAATTTCTTTAACATCCGGCAATACTGCTGGATAAAGCTCACTTAATGTCTGCAATGTACATAGGAAAAGGACACTGCCGCTAAATGATAGTGTTCGATAGAGATAGATGCTATATACGTCCTCACATCATTCGTTTCCCAAACATTTTCGTGAACCAATAGACTGTAGTTTTGGAATCACAAATACCATATACAGAAAAATCCAAATGTCACTGGCGAGGTAATGTGTACGAAAGAGAAGCATGAGAAGCGTGCAATATGTATGTTAGCAAGAATGTGCCGATTGCAACGCGGTAAGCCGCAGCTGCGTTCGTGGCCTCGTCACTCGGGTTACTAGGCAACGTGGTGTTTCAATCTCTTTCTAACATGTGCTTCTGTCTCGTACACATTCCTACGACAGTGGTATATGGATTTCTCTGTATGAAAACGTTATCGATAACTTATAATCCATTGACTTCTTATACGACCTAAATCTCAACGTTAACATTTGCGTATAAGCTACTTGCGATTGCTAAAACTTCCTCTTATTTACCTAGGGGAGAAAAGTAACTCGTCTTTACATGAATCTGGTAAATAATAGCAATCTCTCAGGTCATTAGTGAAAAAATATTTGTTTACTATTACAGATACGTCTATACAGACAGAATTAACCTTACATCATTTGATCAAGCCTGCGAATTATGCTATGCTGCTAAAAAATATATGTTGCCTCATCTAGTGGAAGGATGTACTAAATATTTGTGGTCGGATCTGAATCCTAGGAATGCATGCAGAGCTTATGAGTTTGGAAAACTGTTTGAGGAACCATTGCTGATAGACAAATGTATACAGGTGAAATAATTTGTTTGTGGTATATATTGTAGATAGTGACTTTATTTTGTGTCTTTTGTAGATAATTTGTGATAAGACCCGTGAAGTACTCTCAGATACCAGTTTTGATGAAGTTCAATTCAATACTTTACTAGATATTCTAGACCAAAATCAACTGAATATACAGTCAGAATTAGATTTATTTTCAGCTGTTGAAGGGTATGCGCAAAGAGCATACAATCATTCAGGTGAGTTGATATGCTCTTTGTAAAAGCTGTTTTGTCACCAGTGGCGGCTCGTGCCAATTCAGTGAGGTAGTGCCAGCATGGAAGCCATAATTTTGAATCGATTCAAAATTGTAAAGAATAACTTATAACTTACCCCTGATAGTTAGTGGTCAAAGTTCTTGAGGTTCAATAAATCTATATGTCCAAAAAAAAATCAAAAATAAAACTATTTACACACGCGCACCAAATTATAAAACAAGTGTGGAGAAGTACCTATAACTTCAAAGTTTTCTATACATGAAGTCCATTCTTCTTTCTTTTTTGGTAGCAAAGTTTTCGATTACCTTATTATTAAAATTTTCAATGCCACTAACAAAATGTTTTTCTGCAGACAGCATTCCTAAAGCACTAAGCCTTTCTTCCTTCATTGTGTTTCTGAGGAAAGTTTTAATCCGTTTCAGCATTGAAAAAGAGCGTTCTGCTTCAGATGTTGACATCGGTATAGTGATTAAAATACTTAAGAGCTTAAGAGTTTCTTGAAACGTACAATTTAATCCTTCCTCGTTCAATAAAATGGATAGTGGAACAGCTCCAGAAGTAGTACTCAATTCTTCTCTCTGATATAATACTTGTAACTCAGTTTTAAGCCTGTTTTTGTCTAAAAATGAAAATTGTGTGCATGTGTCATTTAAATGTGCTTCAGGAAACTGATGTTTATAAACAGAAAACTTTTCAGACACAAATAAATTAGAAGCAACTAAATGCCCAGAAAAGTTAAATCTTGTTCTTATTTGCGATAATACTGCATCGCATATTTCTAACGCTTCCCGTTTTTTGCTGCCTTCTTCAACTTGCCTTTTTTTTCTTGCCGGTTCATCAGTTTCTCTCTGCACTCGTTCAATCTCGTCAATAATGCTATCCATTTGTTCTCGTATAGTTTGAATTGCTGCTTCAAAATTCTCTAAATCATTTTTGACCTTAACAGAATCGGTGCATACTTTTTGTAATTGGTTAAAGACAATTTCAACATGTGGCATTATTTTATGGAATATACTTAGCCAAAATACAAAATTTGTATCTTGCAGCTTTAATTTGTACCCACTGGCTTGATTAATCGACGAAGAATCGCGTGAAGTACTTTCTATATTGTCCATAACTTCAATCAGGTCTTTCCTATTTTCATAAACTGTATGAACACCTCGTGACTGAAAATTCCAACGTGTTTGGGAAGATCTTGGCAATCTGCAATTAACTATTTCATCCAAAATTTTTGTTCTTTGAGGAGACGTCGAAAAAAGAGCACAATCCAGATAAATTATGGAAAAATATTCTAGCCTGCTTATTGACAGAGCATGCGCTTGTCATAATTAGATTTAACTGGTGTGCATAGCAATGAACATAATTTGCAAGTGGATAAGTTTCCTTAATAATTTTTTGAACGCCATTCAATTCACCACTCATAACAGACGCACCATCATAGCTTTGAGCTATTAATTTGTTTGGATTTTGATCTAGTAATGGATTTACAACATTTAAAACGCATGCAGCGTCGGGGACGTAAAATCTCCAAAATCTCTCAACTGGTTGTCCTTTACACAAATATCTGAAAATAATAACTAACTGAAATTCACAGGCTACGTCAGTCGTTTCATCGGCAATTACTGCAACAAAAGGAGAATTTGCAATCTCCTTCTTAACTTCTTCATGATAAACATCTAGCATGCACTCAAGAAGCTCGTTTTGAGTTGTTTTTGAGGTACCCTTGAAAAGTTTGGCACTTTTAATATGGACTTTCAATTCGTTGTCTAATTCGGCGCTAAAATTCACCAGCTCCTTAAATATGCCTCTGTTTTCCGAATTTTCCTTTTCATCGTGACCCCTTAAGGCTAACTCAAATGCTCCACAAAACCTTATACAATTAATAATTTTATTCAATACATATCGATTCTTATCCACTTGATTATTATGTTTAATTAGATCATTGCGATAAGCCGAATTGAGTTGAGTCCTTATATTTAATTTACCAAGAATAGAAAAGCTAAAAACATTATTCATATGGACTTTAGATTTTTCGTGGGTCTTCATTTTATCCCATATATGTATAAGATCGTCTGTACCTTTTTTGACCAAGTCTCGTCACCTCCAAATAGAACACATACAAAACAAAATAGTTTATTCGTTTCTTCACAACCACATATCCAGCTGTTTTTATCGTACACATTTTTATTAAATTTGCGACAGCGCGATTTTTGTCCGCTACCACTTTGTTTCTCAATTTTTAAATCGGGTATTGGCCATCCTAATTCTTTAATTTGCAGTTTTTGATCCAGCGAAAAACCACTAAATGAGTTTTTTAATATCCCGATTTTATTCATTTTCACTAGTTTTAATAAAACAGTAAAAAATATGATCACAAAACAGAGCAGTTCATTAACACTAGACGTACTAAAATAAAAAAGGTATTTTTCACTTTTCAGGTAAAAAAAGACCGAAATCAGCACTAGACGTAATCATAACGAAACGACCGACCGAACAAAAACACCTCCGATATCACTTGATAACGAATTACAACTGATGATGTGCCTGGCACAAATTATACTTGTCTTTCGCTATTCACCTCATATAAAAATGTGTAGGGTAGCGTTATCTCTGTCGCTCGAATGCGATGCTAGTAAAATTTCTCTCTTTTTATTTGCTCCGGCCCAAAATTGGCACAAGTTGATGACGTCAAGGTCAAGGCGTGCTTTCCGTTTTCCGTCTCGCGTAGTTCGGGTGCTTGCGGTGTTGTCACGTTGTCAGTGTTGTCACTTCATATAATTTATAGCAAAAAAAATGAAAAAGCAGAAAATAAAGTAAAACATTGAAGATTGAAAAAAAATATTCTTTTTGAAGAAGACAAGGTAGTGCCATGGCACCGTGGCACTACCTCACGAGCCGCCACTGTTTGTCACCACTATTCAGGTCTTTTAAACATACCAAAAAAGGTTATTTTTTATGGCCAAACTTCTAGAGGGCGCCACTTACAGCACTATTTCGGTAAATAACTTATCATAACTTTTTTGTGCTACCCTGTATACAACTGATCGAAAAAACTTATTTCCTCGTACTTCCACAACAAAAAAGGTTTACTTGTTAGAAGTGTCTAAAGCTAATAGTTTTCTAGATATTTATTTTTAAAAGTGCCAATGCATTATGAACCCCTATATGTGTGGTCCGAAATTTTATAGTTCACGAGATATTTGAAATTATTTTGAAATTTCCAAAAAACCGGATATTGAACTTTCAATCGCAATTACAACTAAACCATTAGGTTTAGGGCTGTGATTTTTTTTTTGAGATGAGCCAAATGTTTAGTTTTAGCAATGGTTATGTCACTTTTTAACAGCTTATTAGAAATCAACGCAAAAAATCTTATTCATTTTTTTGTGAAAAATCTCTTCCATCCCTCAACTTTGGAGGGTGGTAAAAAAAATTGAGGTTGTACTTCATTATTAATTTTATCGTAAAAACTGTTTCAATCCATGTAGATTAAACCCTGAAAATTTCAGCTTGCTACGATGAGTGTGTCATGTCATATTCGTTGTTGTGATGCGATAAACGTAAGAAACCCAATAGAATCCTTACTACCTACAAGTACAGAACCTATTGTGTGTAACTGCTCTTTATGGCGATTGACCGAGAAATGTGGAAGATAATTTAATTTGACTAACTTTTAAAGAACATGTTCGAAATGACTTCCATTATTGCCTATACACAAGCGACACCTAATAAAATTGTCCTTTAGTCTTTGAAATGAATTTGCGTTTTCCATAACTTTTATTTTTGCTTCATCAATTTTCTGGCGCAGTTGGTATACATTTGTATATTCAGATGTATAAAACCCCGATATAAAAAATCTAGAAGATTTAAATCGGGTGACCTTGGAGGCCGTCGTATATGTCCACCTCTACCTATCCAACGCCCAGGAAAGGCACTGTCTAAGTAGTGCCGTACATCTCGCGCAAAGTGGCATGGGGCACCATCGCAGCCATAAACCTAATGGTTCTTTAGCCTAATGCGTAATCTTCCGTAACACAACCTGTATATGATTTTCTAGATACACTGAAGATAATGACTCAACAAATTGCTTTTCTGGAGGAAAATGGAATTGTACTTAAACATATTAGTGATATGGTGAAAATTTGGAGACAAGGAATACAGCTTAATGAGTTTAATTTAGAATCGTACACATAAGAATGTTAGTGAGATACGACCAAAATTCGAACTTCTCAGAGTAATGTGCTCGTTTTTATCTCGATACATTATTTTTTGTCGGTCGCGCTGATCATTTTTGTGCGCGATGCGACATTTATGCGAACTACCACAAAGACAAATACATTTTTATCATATGCAGGTCTAGCTTATGTTTCGGACTTTATACACATTAGCTGCAATTAAGCAAATAAAAGACCTTAATTCGGTCATGAAACTTTACTCCAATATACTTACCTGTCACCTGTAAAACATTATGCATGACGATCGAGCGCATAGTCGGGGAATAAGACACTAGGTTTATTTGCAGTAGCACAAACAAGATAACGATGAAAGTAGTGTGCAAAACATACGCATGTCATTTTGACAAATGTGTATGATAAAAATATTGGCTCTAACTTAAGATGTGCCATATCCCTCAGAGATATATCACTGATGGCTTCAGATTTCTGTAAATTCCAGTATTTATGGGTATATAATTTAGAATAATTTTACATTTAAACCATAATATTTTTAGTAAGTCAATTGTTTATGATGGAGTGAAGATGGATTTTTATCACCATGCCAAACTTCTGTCATTAATTTTTATGAGGGTTCAATAAGATATTGTACCTGATGAATAGCACCGTATTTGTCGTTTTAGTTCAACAATCAATCGAATCGACGGTAACCGCAAGCAGGAATTCACCGCAAACACAGACCCCAGAAAACTTAGTGTCTGAAGCGGTGAAGAAGATTCGGTTCCTTACATTCACGCCTCAACAATTTGCTGATGGGCCTGGCAAATCCAATCTGCTCGCTGAATCGGAAAAACTTGCCATACTAATGAATATCTGTTCGCCTAATGCTGTGATCCCCATGCCATCAGGTTTTACCACCAATCGAAACTCCAGGTGTAAAGCTGAAAATTTCGCACTGGTGAGTTGATGAACCTACTGCTTTTGGAACAAAATGTGATTGTCATATTATCAGTTCAGCATAAGACATAAGAGCTCTGTCTCAAGCTGCACAGCTTGTGTGAGCCACGGATTGTCAACTAAGGTGTCATTCTCACTGAAAGAAACTGCAGTAGTAGTAGTAGTTGTGTTGTACAGAAATTGCTTTCACAAGTAGGATTTAGTAAAAAAAATACATTTAGCAATTCTAAGCGATGTTTGTGCCTGTTCTGGGGTTAATTCTGTCAGACCCACTTGGCAAGGCTTCAACAGATCTGCCATATGAGCACCAACAAACGATTGCCAGTTAGCTCCTTGTAAATTAACTCAACTATTTTTGCTTATATCTTATAAACCCTTGGTGTAAATCTGTTGGAAATTTTTACTGCTATTTAGCTACTTGTGAAGAACTGTTGAAAAGCCTCCCTCTGTGCGGTGATGAATTTGTAACGAGGGGGAACAGTAACACCTTCACTGTAATTCCTTCTATTCTCAAAAATACTGGTTAAAAACTCAATCTTTCGTCCATGGGCAGTAGGTAGTATCATTGACATGTTAAAGGTTATGGACCCGCCCGTACCTATCCTTGTACGTACAGCTGCTTGCAGCCAACGTTAGAAAGAAACATCCGAGAGAGAGACGGAGCTAACGCGGGCAAAAAGCCGCGCGCTTAACAGGATTTGGATGGTTTTAAAGTTATGATATCTTTATAAAAATAGATTTAGGTAAAGGGAATGGGATTTTTATACTTCTACTCGATAAAAAAACGATAATATATATAATATTAATTTTTATTCATGTACTTACAAAACAAAAACCTTAATCTACAGAATACAGTATGAAAAATTCTTAATGATAATTATTGATATTACAAAAAGTTATTCTATATAAAAAAAAAAGAATTATTGATGGCTAAAGGTGATAGTTTTGGTCAGATGTTGCCTTATTCTATAGCGCGGTTCATTTTTTGTAGTGTTGATGTGGTGTATTCTAATTGAAAAGTAATTTTTTAATATAAGCCTAATTAATTGCAGGCAATGGCTCTGTAATGGATCCTGATCCTGGAAATGACTTTTCAAGCCAACGAATAGTGTGTCGAAATTGAGTTTCCTTATCGACAAAGATATCAATTTTAGCATAAGGTTTAGAGCAGAAAAGTTTGATTCTGATTTGATTAAGCCTTCTGCACATATGCACACTTTCACAACATCTCTGGATGGCTTACAGAGACCTCCTCGATTTTTTTTATTTAAAAGCAGCGACAAAGAATTGTCCGAAGTTAAAGCATTAGCACATTCATTACAATTTAATGCTTTAACTAATTTCTTGCTGATAAACCCAGCAATATACTCAACAATGTCACAAATATATGTGCAGTTGGCAATTGTGTTTTAGTTTTTAATGAATAACTCATCTTCCGCATCTGAAGATTCTGTCTGTTCATATAATAAGTCAGTAGTAAAAATTGAGTTATTTTTGCTTTCAATGGTAACATTTAAAATCGAGGTATTGTCCTGTGCCAGACAATTTGCACTATCTGAGGTAGTTATTTCACTATGAATTAAGAGTCTTTTATATGCATTTTCGAAATGCCAGGCAGTCGGGTTGTTCGAAAAGCCTCCCCTTGAACGGATTGCTGAAAAAAACATTTCAAGATGATCTTGACTTAGCTTATAAGTTAATAAAAACTGTAACTTATCACCCTCAACCACATCTTCAAATAAATTCCTAACACTTAACAAACAAACAATGAGTCCTAGAAAACCAGTTTTCCTGCCTGTTTCTATTACTTTATCGTGCTTTTGATCTGTCAATGAACTTAAATATTCTACAGATTCTTTGATAAAATTTTTGAAGGTTTCGCTGTTTCCCTTGAAAAGAGGCCTTTTACAAGGAGTTTCCCCATAGAAATTTCTAACATTTAAAACGTCAAAAATATTGTTAATTTTTCGACAGAAAGAAACAGTTGCTTCACTACCTCTAAATTTTGTAATATTCAAGTCCTGATTACAGTATTCTAGGGCATCACCAACACTAGCACTAAAGGTCTGGACAGCAAGCTTCACTTTCATTTTTTCTTTGTAATAGTTAATATGTCGAGACCTTAGTCTAGTGGCACAATGAAGCCCTAATTCCTCTTGCAGCTTCACCAGTTCTTTAAAATAATACCATTTAATGGAGTCTCCATTTCCATCACATAATATGCCCCAATCACCCAAAGTATTATGTACTAATTTAATCATGTGGCATGCGTCCAAAATGATATGTACTTTTTCCTTATTCACTGGGTTTGTGAAATATGGTTTCATTCCAGGAAAACTGAGCTTTGCTCCCAGCAAATTTGCCATCGAAATGTTGGATGCACACCCATCAAATGTGATACTTTTAATCAGCACCCCAGTTGTTTCCAACTGAAGGAAAGACCCTTTAATTAACATTGCCTTTTCTTCAGCAGATAAAGCATCTACTAAAAAATAGGCAATGGGAACCTTCCACCTTGTATTGTAACCTACAAGCATTATCACAAATACATGTTTTGCATGTGGTAATTGGTCACTATTCTGCATACCAGTTCCATAATCAATGTATCCAACATTCCTACTACCAGTCCAATGTACATGCTCACGAATGGACATCTCGTCAATCACAAGACCTGCTATAAGTTGCTTTCCTTTTCCTTTTTCAATGTCAACTTTCATTTTGACAGCCCGTATTGCTTCTGCACTAAACCCCGGTGTACCATCTACAGTAGAATACCATTTTGTTAGTGTTCTAGGATGCGGGAGAGAATTTTTGCCAAACACTTTTCTAACATACTGATATGCAGAAGAAGAATAAAAATTTAATGTTAAAGCAAAGCATCTCAGTTGAGGGCTATATTTTCCTCCTTTGATGCCCTTTTTGAGGTGCCTAAACAGTATGGCTTTTTGTACTTCAGGAATACTTTCCTAGAAATATAAAAAAGAACCTTGCTTAAACAATGGTAATGGAGCCTGTTAGTGCGCTGCTTTTTTCATGGAGCATATAACGTATACATAAATCAAATTCAAGCGGATAACCAAATGGAAATGGTATTTACCATTTTGGGTTGGTATTTACCAATCCGTTCAAGCGAGTGTAGTTATCAGTTTGGTTATAAGATCCGTGACGTCACGAGTCAGATGTTATATGTCATAGTTATCAGCGCAAAATTGTGGTATTTACCCAACTCAAGAGTAGTTTTATATTTCTGGTTATTATTTGAAATGTGACAAGTTAGAATTTTGCCGGGTATTGGATATTGTTATTGTACTTCAGCTTCATTTTTGGGAAAAATGATACAGGATGACTTCAGTTTTACCATAAAGTGGAGCACCTTATTAGTTATACTCATTACGGTTGTTAGGGGCACTTTAAATGTAGTTCCTATGCTTAACAAAGTACCTATCCTGTGTAGCCATATACCACAAGAATATTAAAATATGACCATATAAACTCACTAGATGATATCCACCTGTATATGGTTTTGCTAATTTCTTTTTTCATCATTTCTGCTGAATCAATAAATGTTTTCTTTGGCATGCGGAAAAATTTAGAGAATTGAAAGTTATCATAGCTACAAAGCCATGGTTCCATCATTAAAAAAAAATCTGAAAAAAACATTTCTCCCATGAATATTATGAAAGGTTTTTTATTTAAACCTTCCATATACAGTTGTAGACGAAAAAGCACCGATTATTAAGTGATAATAAAAATAATCAGAGATTATATACGCGCTTTTCTAAAATAAACAACTTGCAACAAAACCGCGGTTAAAACCAACGCGTTCAAGCGATTCGTGTAACGGACGTCATCAACCCGTATGTCATCTTGAACCATATTATAACCGCGGCACATAACACAGACATTTTGGTTATTCGCTTGGATTTGATTATACTATACAATCAACTATACGTAGTCATGCCATAAGTTCTGTCCCTCATTTTCAAACAAGTGTAGACCTGTTAATACTTGTCCGATTGTTTACATTGTGGTGTCAGTTGATTAAGCGCTTTTCGGGTAATTACATATAACTCAGTTTGTATTGATCTCTCGAAGCATAACGATGGAGTGGGGCAAGGCAGAGAACCGTATTGCAGTGATAGCTTTACATAAGTGTAATCACAGTGCTAGTCAGATTTTTGAACTCTTACGCGGCCTTCAAATATCGCGTAAATTTGTGTCTAGGACCATTCAGCGGTACAATGAGACGTCCTCTGTTGATGACAGGCCAAGAAGCGGAAGACCTCGTCAAGTAAGGACTCCAGCAGCCATCAAAGCCGTAAAAGCCAGGATTCAAAGGAATCCACTCCGGAAGCAGAAGATCCTATCCAGGGAAATGAAGATTCCTGTCCGGACGATGTCGCGCATCATTAAACAAGACCTAGGGCTAGGAGCTTACCGGAGACGTACGGGCCAGCGACTTACGGCCACCTTGCGACACATCAGGGCGACAAGATCCAAGAAGCTCTTGGAGAGGTACGCAGCTGGGGGATTCCGAAAGATTTTGTTCACGGATGAGAAAATCTTCACCATAGAAGAAAAATTCAACCGACAAAATGACAAAGTGTATGCAAGGAGTTCACAGGAAGCTTCGGAGATCATTCCGAGAGTTGAGAGAGGCCACCACCCTGCGTCAGTCATGGTTTGGTGGGGGGTGTCCTACGAAGGGGTCACTCAGCTCCATTTCTGTAAACAGGGCGTGAAAACAAAAGCGGCAAACTATCAGAGCGACATACTGGATCCTATCGTCAAGCCTTTAAGTGGTACATTGTTTGCCAACCAACACTGGGTCTACCAGCAGGATTCCGCCCCCGCTCACAAGGCTACGAGTACGCAGCGCTGGCTGGAAAGCAATGTGCCAGAGTTCATTGCTGCGGAAGATTGGCCCTCAGGGAGTCCGGACCTCAATCCTTTAGACTACAAGTTGTGGGACCTGCTAGAGCAGTTGGCCTGCTCCAAAGC